CTGTGGTTTCTATATAAAAGATAAAAGAGTTTTCAAGATTAACACTTTACCCAGCAGAGATAAGATAAAATAAAATAAAATAAAAAGTAGGCCACATAAAACTTTAACTGCAGTCCCTTTAATAAAAAATTATTGGTAAATTATTGTTGATTCTCGAGGGTTGACTGTATGTAACAGATGTATTTTAGTTAACAATAGTTTAATATGTAACAATATTAAAGCATTGTCAATTCAATTTACAAACTAACACTGAAGGGCGCTTCGCGTCTCTTCGGGGAAAATAGGGCTTTTCTTTTTGCTTCTATGGATGTGGAGCAACTTCTTTCTCAAGAAGTTTTGTAAACTTTTCTAAAAATGGGGATTTCTTTTGTCAGCATCATTATCAAGAAAGTATAAGTATTACTAAAAAAATCTGTTAGATCAGATAAAGGAATTGAGTCTTTGCCACAAACTCAAATTTTCTAATTCCTATTTCTTTACAATCTGATGTTGTAAACCTTTGATGTTTCATATTTAGATTATTTGATATTTATTATTTATAGTTTGACATGTCTAAGGTCTACGACATTGGGTTGCCAAGATTAAAAAATCTGAGTTTGTGGCAAAGACTCAATTCCTTTCTTAAGCTTTATTAAATTTTCTCAGAGATCTGGATTCTGGTCTGAAGATTAATTTAATTCAAAACTTTTCATTAGTGATGAACTGACTAAATTTTACGTAATTCCTTTAATTTTTAATTCCATTATAGAACCGTTTAAACCTTTTCTTAAAAATAATTATGAAGCTGAACAATTCTTTTTCTATCTGATATGGATTATTTTGAATTTAAAGGGACAGACCGGCTTTGTAAGGTAGTTAAACTGAGTATGCAGTGTTGTGGACAAATTGTTTAGGATTCATTAGAGACATATAAAACTTTTTAAAGATCTGTAAATCCTGAGTTTGAGCGCAAAGTCGACGTTCAAAATCGTACTTTTGGGTGGATACGTTTTCAGAATTGTTTTTTTTATTATTGAATAACGACAACAAAAAATGTAAACAAAATTCTAGAGTAAACTAATTAGTTGTTTAGGAACAGGCTGAGAAAATAAAAATTAACTCTAATCATCGAAAATAAGTAATCTTGTTTAATGATTAGTTTCTATTATCTCTCTTTAATCACAAAGATTTTCTGCAGATTATCAGGAATTTTTATTAAAAAGACGACATTAGAAGAATTTGAAGAAATCTGCGAACAAATTCGTAGAAAATAAGAAATTCAATACAATTATGAAAAAAGAAAATAGCTAATTTACTATAGAATTTTCACTTTATTTTTCGTCGTCGTTTTTTAATAATTAAAAAAAACCGATTATGAAAACGTACCCACCCAAATTCATGATTTTGAACGTCCTCAAACTCAGCAATTATACATCGTGGAAACGTTTTATATAAATTCATCTTCATTTATTGGATACATAAGTTTTAAACATTCAAGTCGTAAAAATGTGATATATTATTATTTCAATAAAAACTAGCAGAAGGGCCCGACGTTGTCCGAAAAAAAAAATTGATTTTTTTTTTTAAATCGAATTTTTTAGCCTATGAGACCCCCGCCACCCATGAGTGTCCACAAAAAATTTCAGCCCAATCGGTTCAGCCGTTTGGCCGGCTATAGACAACATATATATATACGAATTGGTCTAAATCAGTATTGTGACGAACACGGTTTCCAATGAAAATTATTTTTTTTAAAGCGCGAATTAAAATTAATTTTTATTTATTTACAATATTTTTTAATTGCTTCATTTTTACTATTTTGGACAAAAGTTTTTCCTTTGATCCGTATGGCGGGGTGTTAATTTCCAGTAAATTACGAAAATTGTGCATAAATTTTCTAAACCGGGTCGATTTTGAAGTGTTCCAACCTCTTGGCCTTTGGTTTTACATTATTTACTCCACTATACTTTTATATGTAACCCTAGACATGTAAGTTTGTATACCTATCGTTTTTAACTTTATTTTAAAAGGAGTAATTGGGAAAATTATGAATATAAAAATTGTTGTGTGAGATGGGTGCACACCTCTTTCTTAACAAAACTTTTTCAAAGAATTAAATAATAATTAGAATTTTTAAAAAAATTGAAAAAATCCCGACCCACAAGAAATTCTGCTTTTTATCTCTTTACAAAAGGAAATAGTGTCAGGCTTTGCTGTCAATCAAGTCTGAGTATTTCTAAAGAATATTTTTCATTCATGATCAAACATATATGAATCTCGTACAGATTTTTATAAAAATATGATTTAAATTTATCCAAATGGAAGTGTAAAGTGTAATTCATCGACAATAAAGGTACAAAATGTTTAAATCGAGAAACTAATATATATTAAAGAATAAATATATTATGTGTCGGGTAAATTCTTTAAAGCTCTAAAGATAAAAAGCAGATATTTAAGTATATATTTCTAAAAAGGTCTTAATTCTACGATATAAAACTTCAAATTGGATTAATTAACTACCTATTGAGGAAAAAACTGTTTTCAACCCATAAAAATAATTATATATAAAAACACAATTTTACTAAAAATCCCTATTTCATTTAAAAGATAATATTGATACTAAATAATCAGTAATTCTACAAGTATTCACTGATTAATAATAAATTTAAAAAATAATATTGATACTAAATAAGCAATAATTCTACAAGTATTCACTGATTAATAATAAATTTAAAAAATAATATTGATACTAAATAAGCAGTAATTCTACAAGTATTCACTGATTAATAATAAATTTAAAAGATAATATAGATACTAAATAAGCAGTAATTCTACAAGTATTCACTGGTTAATAATAAATTGCTCGGCACAAAGTACAAACAATAAAGAAGTAACTTTGCTTTCTTTTAGTTTCCTGTTCCATGTGTACTGTTATATGAAATAATAGCTGAAGAACTCGGCGTTGCCCGTTAAATTCAGCCATTTTGGTCCGGCCGGCCGTTTGGCCAGCTATAGCTAACATATATATATACATAGATGTACTGTTTACAAGCCAATGTGGTTCTATTTACTTGTTATGTTTTTGTTCTGTGTACCGTGTATCTCACGGGCAGCCGTAGTACATTTGAATTTCTGAGCCGGGTCAACCTTTCCAGTCCCAGTTTGTACTGTACCTATCTCCATAGACAGGACTAGCGGGTGAAACAAGGTTGACGCGGCCAGACTTTCTGCTTCATATTGGTTGAATTTACTTTTACTAAAGAGGCAAGGTGCGTGAACTACTTGAAATAAACAAAAACAAATAGTGTAAAACTAGGGAAATTAGGGAAGAATACTGATGGAAAGTATTTTATAGATCAGTTTACTGTATCTCAAGCAGTTCTTAACACTATACCTCCAATTACTGCTGAAACTATAATAGGAGGTAAATTAATGAATAATATAACTTTTTCAGTTTAAGATAATATATAAAAGGAACTGATTAATCGCCTCAGACTCTAATTCTCTTTGCAACCTGATGGTGTTCTCTGTACATCTTAATTGATTGAAACTTTGATAACAAACAATAGAACGTATTGTTAAAATATCAGGTTGCAAAGATATAGATCAGAAATAGAAAAATTAGAGTTTAAGGAAACCTCAGAAACCTCATTCCACATAGTTTTGATAAACTACAAATTTCCGAATATATTATTATATAATATATTATTATGTATTATTATATAATATATTTTACGGTTTTTTCTCTCTGAAAATTGTAAAAAAAAAAACTTTTTAAAAACCAGAAGTCTACTCCAACATCTCGCCTAAATTATTTTCTGATAGCTCTTTCGGTTCATGATAATAACAATTTATTACTTACATGATTACTCACTGTAAGTACTACTACAAGATTACAGTCTTTTTATGGCCTTTTTTTGATTGGGCAACGATAGACACAATTGTTTACAGCTGCAGGGAGTAATTAATAAAGGAAAAGAGATAATAAAAATTCCTAACAGTCGTCTGTTACGTCTGATCCTTTGTGAGTATTACACTGGTCCTGAAAGGTAAAAGTACGTTGAAAAAAAATGAATATGCATCTAATCAGGTTGATTAAAAAGAATCTCTATTTTTATTTTTATTTTCTGAGTTTCTGTGTTTTTAGATGAAAACAACATTAATCAAGATGTAATAAACTGGTATAAATGAGATTATTAATGGCCAGATCACGTTCTGATTAAAGAACTTGTTTTTCTCCTTTTATGTAGTTTTAACCCTATCTGAGAACCAGGAGGAGGGGCCGGTGGGGATATTCGAGACATCCTGCTTTATCTTTAATAGCTGGCGGGGCCTTGGTATTATAATAACCGTGTAACGGTTTGCCCAGCTTTATATATATATATACATGTGAAGAACATAGACACGTCCGCACATTTGAAAAATTACAACAACAAAAAATCTTTTTGACACCCCTAGGCTTAGTACTACAATATAATTCACCATAACTCTTACTGCAGGCCTTTAATTATTATACAGGGAGAGGAATCGAGTCTTTGTCACAAATCCCAATATCTTTGATTCCTGATTGTGTTAATCTAAGATATTTCAAATTTAGATTATTTGATATAATACACTTAGAAATATCTAAGGTCTTCGACATTGGGTTGTAAAGATATAGGAATTAAAAAATCAGAGTTAGTGGCAAAGACTCAATTCCTTTTCTTCTTTCAAATTTTATTTCGTTTTAGATTTTTCGTCTTGTATGAACCATGATGATTGTATTGGTGCTAACAGACGATGTTTACATAATAAGGTAAATACATGTACAGTACTGCAGTACATAATAAGGTAAATACATAAACAGTACTGCAGTACATAATAAGATAAATACATATACAGTACTGCAGTATATAATAACTAGAAATTCAAGGCGCTTCGCGCCCTTCTTTCTAGTATATAATAATGTAAAAACATGTACATTACTGCAGTAAATAATAAGGTAAATACATCTACACTACTGTAGTATATAATACGGTAAAATGCATGTACACTACTACGTACATATAAAATGTAAATGCATACATGTAGTAAATGCCCTACTCCTTAACAGTTTCCCGAACAAGTATCTATCCAGGTACAACTCAGATTCTCTTGACTATCAATGGGAACCATCACGGATACAATCCCGTGATCTAACAACGCCACTGCCACTAACTATCGATATTAATTGGAAGCTCGCAACTATCAATGTAAAACCAATGGGCATGATCCTCAAACTGTTTATCAAAACAGGGAACGGTTACTCTGTCCCAGTAAACAGTTCGGAGTTTCTATATCAACTAATGTATACAAATTAGTGTTAAAAACGTGATTACAATTCCTACATCTTTATCTATATCACATGATTAAGACAATCATTTTACGTATTACAGCATAGTTGAAATAGGTGCAATTAAGATGTACGTCATTATATAAATAACATGATTTAAGCTAATCATGCTACGTATTCATTTGAAACGCAGTTCAAATGAATAATGGGTTTTACGTAAAAGTTTACAAACGTATGATAGTTAATAATGTACAACGTACTTCAGGTTTACAGAATATAATGTTTACCCAATATTTATTAAATGTACACTACTGCAGTACATAACAAGGTAAATACATGAACACTACTGCAGTACATAATAAACTTTTATTCTATTTACTCTACATTATTTATCTATATTCATCTATCTGTATGTATTTATCTATTTATTTATATGTCTAGATATTTTGTTTAAATATTTTATTTCTATTTATAATTTATTACATTTTGATATTTTGCTCAAAATCCGTTCCAAAATTTATCAAATAAAAATTTTCAAAATTTTTATTTTTTTGTAGATTTTGAAATATCTAGATTTTTTATATCTTAACATCTGTAAACCTCCCCTGAACCTAGATTCAGCACCATACTTTGCAGACAGGTACAATTATTTACCTAGATTCAGCACCATACTTTGCAGACAGGTATAATTATTTACCTAGATTCTTTTTAATGAAACTTTTAATATTTTTGGCTTTTAAAATGTATTACGACAATCTGCAAGAAGTGTCTACAATTTAAAATTGTATTCTAAATAAGTTGTCTTTATCAAACATGCAAATTCGTTATTCTTTGTGAAAATATAAGGCAAAAACGAACCAAAAACTATCGTTATAAAAAACTCCAAAACGGTTGTTTTAACGCGATCATTTTTGCCTTATATTTTCTTTTCGAGTGTTACAAATTTACATGTTTGATAAAAGCAAACTTCTATAACAGAATAAAGTTGCAAAATGTTGGAACCTTCTCATATTGTCGTAAAACCTAAAATGTCTAAAAACATTAAAAGTTTCTGTATAACGAATCTGGCTATTGCCCATCCCTAGGTACAATTTACAAACCATAATCGATCAATAGAAATCTTTGAAAACATTAATCGTCTTTCTTAAAAAAGCTTTGATAAAATAATTAGATATGTTTTAGTAAAGCTGTCAGGAACCATAAATGTAATAGTAAAATCAAGTCTCATTCTTTGTGCACGCACAATCGGTGTAAATTTGAACATCCGAGCTGGGCCAACCTTTGCGGTCCTAGTTTGGACTGTACCGCCAATTTACAATTACTAAAGCGGCAGACCTGTGTGTGTGGGTCACACAGAACCTTGTAATATTGACGATTGAATAAAAGGCTTTAGGGGCGTATTCAGAAATTTTTGCATGGGGGCTTACATTTTTTTTCTTTCCTGGGGAGGGGATCAGTCAGCACCCGTTNCCCCTCCTCTGAATACGCATCTGGAGGGCTTTCATTAATATTATTTTCTTTGAAGTGCTAAGTAGCAAAGAAAAAGTTTTAAGTACGAAAATACCGAATTCACGGAGAAAAAAATTAATTAAGATTTCTTCAAGTTGATATTTGGTGGAAAAATGTTATAACTTTAATATGAAAAGAAAAATATTAGAATTTAGAAAAGCTTTCTCTCCTAGAATCATTTCTAAGAATTAGTTTTGTAAGACCATTACGTTAAAATATTTATTCACAGGTTGCTTTCTGACGTAAAAAATCTGTGATTAAAAGTATTAAACTTTTTATTCGGTTTCAAGATAACTTTTTTTTGGAAGTTTTTTAACAGATTTTTTTTAGATTACAGAAATTCTTTTTTGTATTGAATAAAATATTATTTTCATTTTTCCAATTCTATTCTGTTTAGGTTCCTGTCAAGTGGACAGGACAGTATCGACCATTATTAATAATCTAATAATCTAATCTATTTTCCAATTCTATTCTGTTCAGGTTCCTGTCAAGTGGAGAGGACAGTATCGACCAAAAGGTGCATTATTAATAATCTAATTGTTTTTCTTGATTATCTAATTATTTTCTTAATTATAATTATCTGGTTATTTTCTCAAATATCTAATTTTTTTCTTGATTATCTAATTTTTTCTTCATAATCTAATTGTTTTATCAATTATCAAATTATTTTTTTTCGATTATCTTATTATTTTCATGGTTATCTAATAATTTTCTTGATTATCTAACTTTTTTCTCGATTATCTAATCATTTTTTCGATTATCTAATTACTATCTGAAAAATTTGATTATCATTAATAATCTTGATAATCTTAGTATATTATTTTCTTATTATCATTGTTAAAATGATCATTATGATAAAAAGCCAATTGTTAAATAATCTGATTATAATTATTATTGATATAATTGCTTATGGAGTTTTAAAAACACTTTGGGGAAAAAATGATTTTAAAAAAATCGGATTTTTTATTCAAAAGGTTTTCTAAAAAAGAAGTGCCAATTTAATCCGGCCAAATGGACAGCTGTAATTCTAATATAAATATACATTAGAGAAAAGTTTTATTACGAAGATAATTAATAATCATTTTGAATAAGCTAATCTTAATTCTTAATAATCTTGCTTAATTTTTTCTAATGTAATCTTAATTCTAATAATCTAATCTATAATTTTTAATAATCTAATCATAATTCTCATTAATCTAATCTATAATTTTTAATAATCTAATCATAATTCTCAATAATCTAATCTATAATTTTAATAATCTAATCATATTTTTCAATAATCTAATCAATAATTTTTATTAATCTAATCATAATTCTCTATAACCTAATCTATAATTTTTAATAATCTAATCATAATTCTTAATAATCTAATCTCTAATTTCAAATAATCTAATCATAATTCTCAATAATCTATTCAATAATTTTTAATAATCTAATCATAATTCTCAATACTCTAATCAATAATTTTTATTAATCTAATCATAATTCTCAATAATCTAATCTTTAATTTTTAATAATCGTATCGTTTCAAAATGATTCATTCGTCATTATTCTTAATAATCTAATCTATAATTCTAAATAATTTAATCATGAATAATATTTACTGCTTCTGATTTTCGAATCACTTAATTATAGTTTGCGCGGTGAACGTTTTTTTGTTAAAAAAGTTTTTTCTACGTTTTTTTGGTTTTGGTGTGAATATTGTTGTTCTCAAATCTCAATATATTCTGATCGCTATAAAAACAAATAATCTTGATTTATTGTAGTTCTGTAGATTGTCAATCATTAGATATTCCTTTCTTGGGAATTGGAATACAAGGTGTCCCAAAAAAATAAATTCCTAAATATTCGCATTTTTGTTTGTAGCTCCGAAATTGACAGGGTTATTACAAAATTTTCCATATTTAACATGACAATTTTCCTTTTTCATATTTTGTCATGTATAAAGGATCAAAAGTAAATTCGTCCCATAATCTCTCTTTTTTTGGGACATCCTGTACAGTGTACAATACATAGATGGAAAGATATTTGATATTTCTAATATGACTGAATAAGATTTCTCAGCATTCATGAGGAAAAAGAAAGATTAGATTAGACAGAGTTTTTTTAATTGTTGAAATTCAAGGATTTGAGTTTAATAATGGTTTCAGTGCCACTAGAATGCACTAAATACCACTATAATGCACTAAATACCACTAGAATGCACTAAATACCACTATAATGCACTAAATACCACTAGAATGCACTAAATACCACTATAATGCACTAAATACCACTAAAATGCACTAAATAAATTAATCTAAAAACAAACGGGTTAAAGCAAAGAAACTTTGCCAAAAACTCAAATTTTCTAATCCCCAATTCTTTACAACCTGATAATGTTAACCTTTGATATTTCAAACCTAGATTATTTGATCTAACAAAATGTTTGAAATATCTAAGGTCTACAACATTGGGTTAATTTTAAACACTTGTCTTTTTTTGGTATAGTGATAACCATAAAATACGCTTCAATGTCGTCTTCCTATTCCACAGTTTTCTGGTTCTCTATGCAAACTAATTTAGATCTGTATTGGGACCTGGTTGATCTATGCTGCCGATCTAGAAGAACCCAAAACAGGAGGAGGACTCAGATCTAAATTCTACCCAGACGATATATTTTTCAAGCGCAGCAGACGAGTTCCCCATCAGGTTTGTAAAAGTGAAATAAACCTATTTAGATACATCTATAAATATAAAATAGTAAGCTCTGTCTGTTTTTTTGTCTGATCATAGCTCAGGAACCCCTTGACCGATTTTAAATTGGAAAACTCGGGAGAGCCACGGGAATGTTCCTAGTCTAATTTCTAAATTGAGTGGGTCGACATAAAGCTAAAATTAAGTGTGGGTGAACTATATGTGAATGCATCTAAAACTAATTGTTGACTGAATATCTGAATAATTTGTTTGAAGTTAAATTGATTATTTTACGATAAGAGTCGTATGTTGCCACTTTCTGAATTTGTATGGACGCTACGTTCTTCAGTATAAGCTGTTTTTAACAATTTTCCCTTATAGACGCAACAGATAGAAGTATGATTCGTAGCGATCAAAAGCGATTTTTTTTCGCCGTAAGCCTATATTAACCCACATAGTATGATACTTCAGAGACGACTGTACGGAATTTATGCAGGCTTTTTTCTCACAATTTAGTTTTCTTTCAACTTGATACATGTTTCTTTTAACTTGATACATGTTTCTTTTAACTTGATACATGTTTCTTTCAACTTGATACTTGACACTTGTTTCTTTCAACTTGATACATGTTTCTTTTAACTTAATACTTGTTTCTTTCAACTTGATACATGTTTCTTTTAACTTGATACTTGTTTCTTTCAACTTGATACATGTTTCTTTCAACTTGATACTTGTTTCTTTCAACTTGATACATGTTTATTTTAACTTGATACTTGTTTCTTTTAACTTGATACATGTTTCTTTTAACTTAATACATGTTTCTTTCAACTTGAAACATGTTTCTTTTAACTTGATACATGTTTCTTTTAACTTGATACATGTTTCTTTCAACTTGATACATGTTTCTTTTAACTTGAGACATGTTTCTTTTAACTTGATACATGTTTCTTTCAACTTGAAACATGTTTCTTTTAACTTAATACATGTTTCTTTCAACTTGATACATGTTTCTTTTAACTTGATACATGTTTCTTTTAACTTGATACTTGTTTCTTTCAACTTGATACATGTTTCTTTTAACTTGATACATGTTTCTTTTAACTTGATACTTGTTTCTTTCAACTTGATACTTGTTTCTTTCAACTTTATACATGTTTCTTTTAACTTGATACTTGTTTCTTTCAACTTGATACATGTTTCTTTCAACTTGATACATGTTTCTTTTAACTTGATACATGTTTCTTTTAACTTGATATACATGTTTCTTTTAACTTGATACATGTTTCTTTTAACTTGATACATGTTTCTTTTAACTTGATACATGTTTCTTTTAACTTGATACATGTTTCTTATAACTTGAGACATGTTTCTTTCTTTGTCACATCATAAAGTAAATCAATTTAAGGCTATATTTTAAGGCTATATTTTAAGGCTATATTTTAAGGATATATTTTAAGGATATATTTTAAGGCTATATTTTAAGGCAATAGACCAAATTCAACTTGAGATCGCTGTAAATCATGACTTCAGGTCGTCAATATTATCTTATCCTTTTTGTATAAACCCTTTATAGATCTATTCTCACTATATCTTTTCATACCACAATTTAGGTAAACAAATTTTTTCTTGGCAAAAAGAAAAACTTTTGATTTCAAGACTTTAATAAATAGGAAAAGCCAAAAGATCTTGCTGAAAAAACCTCTTAACCAAAAATACATTATTCTCCTCCCCCAGAGAATTTCTGCATTAAAATTCTACTTAGCTCTCTCTATACTGAAAGCCCTATGTCTGAAAGAGAGAATACAGAATTATAGAGTTGGCAATAACATCATGTGATGATCGTCATCTGGCAAAATTGCCACTTGGCAAGATTTTTACAATTTGTTGCTTGGCAACTCTTCCAACAGAGATAACCAGAAAACTGTAGAATAAGGAGACGACATTAAATCAATACTTTTGTGCATTTGCTGTTTTTACAAAGCATCTAGCTTTACTTTAGTAAGTTATTAAATCAATAATTAAGTGAAATGGGTCTGTTTACACTGAACAATCAATATGCCTCATGTTTATTGGACTATTCAAAGTCATAACTTGAATCTAAAAGTCGACTTTCTATTCCATACTTTTCTGGTTATCACTGTAGTAAAGAACTTGACATTATCAAATTGCAGAAGATTTACAGGTTAAAATTGCATCAAATTTATTAAATACAACTGTTACCCCTAGCTTTATCCTCTTTTGTCCATATAGCACTGCAGATACATGATAATATATAACAAAATATATTGCGGGGGGGGGGAGAGTTATAATCTTTTGGAAGATTGAGACAGCTAAAACTAAGCAACTAAACGTTTAATCCTTTAAAAACAGCTGAATCCTATTCTCATTAACTCCCATTGGTCAAATGCAAACTGTTGTGGCTGCTGATTGGTCAATGTTTACACCCGGCAAAGCAATTAAGGACCATCCAACCCTGAGATTTCTGAAGGGAATAACCCTGAGGATACAGATTAGAGATTTCTGAAGGGAATAACCCTGAGGAAATAGATTAGAGATTTCTGAAGGGATTAAGTCTGAGGATACAGATTAGAGGTTTCTGAAGGGATTAACCCTGAGGATATAGATTAGAGATTTCTGAAGGGATTAACCCTGAGGATATAAATTAGAGATTTCTGAAGGGATTAACCCTGAGAATACAGATTAGAAATTTCTGAAGGGATTAACCCTGAGGATATAAATTAGAGATTTATGAAGGGATTAACCCTGAGGATATAAATTAGAGATTTCTGAAGGGATTAACCCTGAGGATACAGATTAGAAATTTCTGAAGGGATTAACCATGAAGATACAGATTAGAGATTTCTGAAGGGATTAACCCTGAGGATACAGATTAGAGATTCCTGAAGGGATTAACCCTGAGGATACAGATTAGAGATTTCTGAAGGGATTAACCCTGAGAATACAGATTAGAGATTTCTGAAGGGATTAACCCTGAGATTACAGATTAGAGATTTCTGAAGGGATTAACCCTGAGATTACAGATTAGAGATTTCTGAAGGAATTAACCATGAAGATACAGATTAGAGATTTCTACAGGATTTTAACCCTGAGATTACAGATTAGAGATTTCTGAAGGGATTAACCCTGAGGATACAGATTAGAGATTTCTGAAGGGATTAACCCTGAGGATACAGATTAGAGATTTCTGAAGGGATTAATCCTGAGGATACAGATTAAAGATTTCTGAAGGGATTAACCCTGAAGATACAGATCTGAGATATCTAATTAAAGAGTTTAAACCTCTGATTTATCTTCCTTCACTAAATGTAAGATGTATGTAAATGTAAGATGTATGTAAAGCCAATCTAAGATGTTTTATAAAAAACGTTTCTATTATTTATATTCATGTTGGTCTATTCTATCTTATATTAGTCTAAAAACTCTATTATGTGTTTTTATACAATATACAGAATACTAATTTTCATCAGAACTTGACGCCATTCATTATATAAAGGGTGTCCCAATATAATGTATTCTACCTACAGCCGGCCCAAAATGTTGTCAAAGNCGGTAACATGGGCAGCTGGCTAGCTATATTCCTCAAATAACCTTTCCTACGATTTTTGAAATCCCACGGGCAACACTGAGAACATCAGCAACCCAGGGTGTCCCAAAGTAAAAAAGCAATAAAAATTAGACTAGAAAGTGAAACACTACTGAATTCTTTAAGCTTCTGGAATTTTTTTATTCAGATATTCATCATTGAATGAAAAACTACTCGATAAGTATAAGGTGTGGAACACAAAACTACTAGATAAGTATAAGGTGTGGAACACAAAACTACTCGATAAGTATAAGGTGTGGAACACAAAACTACTTGATAAGAATAAGATGTGGAATACAAAGCTACTCGATAAGTATAAGATGTGGAATACAAAACTACTTGATAAGTATAAGATGTGGAATACAAAACTACTCGATAAGTACAAGATGTGGAATACACACTACTCGATAAATATAAGATATGGAATACAAAACTACTCGATAAATATAAGATATGGAATACAAACCTACTCGATAAAAAGAAGATATAGAACACAAAACTACTTGATAAGTATAAGATGTGGAAAACAAAACTACTTAATAAGTATATGATGTGGAATACAAAACTACTCAATAAGTATAAGATGTGGACTACAAAACTACTCGATAATTATAAGATATAGAACACAAAATTACTTGATAAGTATAAGATATGGATTACAAAACTACTCGATAAGTATACGATGTGGAATATAAAACTACTCAATAAGTATAAGATGTGGAAAACAAAACTTATTGATAAGAATAAGATATGGAATACCAAAACTACTAGATAAGTATAAGATGTAGTATTCAAAACTACTCGATAAGTATAAGATAAGGAACGCAAAATTACTCGATAAGAATAAGATGTGGAATACAAAGCTACTCGATAAGTATAAGATGTGGAATACAAAACTACTTGACAAATATAAGATATGGAATACAAAACTACTCGATAAGTATAAGATGTGGAACACAAAACTACTCGATAAATATAAAATATGGAATACAAAACTACTTGATAAGAATAAGATGTGGAATACAAAAACTACTGGAAAAGTATAAGATGTGGAATACAAAACTACTCGATAAGAATAAGATGTGGAATACAAAAACTACTGGAAAAGTATAAGATGTGGAATACAAAACTACTCGATAAGTATAAGATGTGTGGAACACAAAACTACTTGATAAGAATAAGATGTGGAATACAAAACTACTCGATAAGTATAAGATATGGAACATAAAACTACTCGATGAATATAAGATGTGGAATACAAAAAATAAAATCCTGGTTTTAAAAGGCATAGAATTATCATATTGATAAATTCTAACCTGCAGGGGTAAAATTCTTTTTTCTATTCTCTCTGAACGAAAAAAGTGTGAAATTAGTTCAGTTTCAATTTCACAGGGACTTCACAAAAATGCTAACTTAAGTAATTCAAAAATCGTCCATATATACTTGAATCGTCCATATATACTCGAATCGTCCATATATACTCGAATCGTCCATATATACTCGAATCGTCCATATATACTATCGACCAAATATAATCGAATCGTCCATATATACTTGAATCGTCCATATATACTCGAATCGTCCATATATACTCGAATCGTCCATATATTATATAATCGAATCGTCCATATATACTTGAATCGTCCATATATACTCGAATCGTCCATATATACTTGAATCGTCCATATATACATATATACTTGAATCGTCCATATATACTTGAATCGTCCATATATACTCGAATCGTCCATATATACTTGAATCGTCCATATATACTTGAATCGTCCATATACATATATACTCGAATTGTCCATATATACTCGAATCGACCAAATATACTCGAATCGTCCATATATACTCGAATTGTCCATATATACTCGAATCGTCCATATATACTCGAATCGTCCATATATACTTGAATCGTCCATATATACTCGAATCGTCCATATATACTCGAATCGACCAAATATAATCGAATCGTCCATATATACTCGAATCGTCCATATATACTCGAATCGTCCATATATACTCGAATCGTCCATATATACTTGAATCGTCCATATATACTTGAATCGTCCATATATACTCGAATTGTCCATATATACTCGAATCGTCCATATATACTTGAATCGTCCATATATACTTGAATCGTCCATATATACTTGAATCGTCCATATACTCGATCGTCAAAAATCGGCCTCCCGCATCTAAAGGGATCATTATTATCACTATCCTGCAGGGTTACCCTCTATGGATGAAACTTCAGAGACGACTGTATGCAGTTTTTCCTTTATCCATAGTTCACTACATTTAAAACATGCTTTTTATTTTTACCAAGACTGTTTCGTTCCCAAATTACCGACAGATAAAACAAAGTTACCCAGGGGGGTATGTGTTTTTATCAATACAATGAATTCGACTTTCGATTACATACCTTTTATTTCTATACAAGCTTTTAAACAGCATGGAAACAAATACACAGTCAATTAACAGTTTCTCTATACGTTCATTGTTCACTTGTAAACTTGTAATTTAAACAGACTTGATTAGAAATCAAAACTTAATAGAAAAGTCGTCTTCATTGAATCATTGAATTGATATTAACGCCGACCACTGCAAATCTAAAACTGGGACGGTTTGACCAGCTGTGTAGCTTGTCTATCTGGCACACACAATCATATTCATACATATTTTGGTTTAAGATAACCGTAAAGCTTAATTAAAGCCGTCTTGTATTATTTAATATGCATTGTTCTTCTTTCAAAGAAATTGAACATGATTTTTAAAAAGCTTTTTCATTTTTAAATTTTGTACTTTTTTAGTATCTTGGCTTTGTGGAGGACATGATGTTGATCCTCTTCTTGGTCTGTATACTCATCACCCTCGTCACAGTTCACAGGGCCAGTTGCTACAGGTAAACATCTTGGTCTGTATACTCATCACCCTCGTCACAGTTCACAGAGCCAGCTGCTACAGGTAAACCAAATTTCCATTCGATAATTCGATACAATTCATGCATCGAAAAAATCCGCGAAACTTAATATTAACCCGCGGTTTTCTGAAGAAACACTGTAAGAAAGTTTTGAACACACGAGGACCATTTTTAAACTGTAAGAAAGATTTAGTTGTGATCCTAAAATCAATTATTTTAACTAAAACTGCAACGATTGCTGAATCAATATGTGGTTAAAGTTGAAAATTAAAAATAGGTTATAGATGAAAAAAGTTATCAAATTTCTATAAGTGAAAAAATAAATATTTTTTTTTAATTACAATATAGTGAATTACAGATTTATATAGAAATCTGATAAAAAGATTCTCAAATATCCTCTCGAGTGAAACAAAACCTTTGATAATAATATTTCAGCAACTTTGATATCATTTCTTATAGAATTATTGAGTTATTTTTGAATACAGAGCAGCCCCATAAAATTGTGGTATTTAAAGCCGAAATTGAAGCAAGTATGTGTTAATAAGCAAATAAACACCAGTAACTTGGAAAGCAACTTAATAAGTAAAATGGGTCTGTGTGTAAGCGGTGTACACTGTACAGTGTACAACTGAGCTGCACATTGAGCACCTGAAATCTGTGGAATAAGAAGACGACATATTCATTGGAATATTTAAATTCATAACTACCTGAGCCTCATAGTCGTCTTCTTCTTCAACAATGTTATGGGTCAAAATGTGCAAAAAATAGTTTGCAAACAGATAAAATGGAAAACTACTTATATTAGATTATACAGTTGTGTGCAATATGCTTGCATAGTGCCCTTTGATAAGCTTGACAAGTCATGTGTGACTGCCCATAGAATGTTATATTTTAAGAAAAGGATTAAATTTAACATTTAAAAATTAATGAAGAAAATACGAATTATTCAGACTTCTGTCATGATGTCTTAATTCTAGGCAATTCTTATTATAAGATAGGATATAAAACGTTTATAAAAAGCAAAAAAAAACACTTGACAATCGATATTTAGGGCGGTTTAAACTGCACCCTGCGACCGACGGGTTTCCCGACGCTCTAGCACCCTCGTACGTGAAGCGATCCGAAAGGAAATCATTTATAATATTTTAATTTTAGGCAATTTCAAGATGCGCGTAGGAACACACCTCTCCGTCATATTCTACCAATAGCAGAGGATCAACCACCACCTTACTCAGAGCGAATAGATTCAGGTAGTTGCAGTCAACTAAATACTCAGAGAGAATAGATTCAGGTAGTTAGTTGCAATCAACTCATTACTCACCTCATACTCTAGAATAGATTCAGGTAGTTGAAATCAACTCATTACTCAGAGAGAATAGATTCAGGTAGTTGCAATCAACTCATTACTCACCTCATACTCTAGAATAGTTTCAGGTAGTTGCAATCAACTCATTACTAACCTCATACTCTAGAATAGATTCAGGTACTTGCAATCAACTCATTACTCACCTCATACTCTAGAATAGATTCAGAGCTGAAAACTTTAGAATGGGATATCCTTAATCCCGATCGGATAATTAATCTGGAGATTAATAACAAGAGGAGAACAAGCAAGATATCAACATTTCCTCTGTTCTTTCTTCGTTTTTTTTCCGCAAAATTTTCCTGGCTTCTGATTGGCTATTCATTGGAGATCTGATTGGTACTTCATGGGATATTGATTGAACATTAAACTAATGTAAAAAATTAATAAAAGATCGATATCAAGCATTGATCTCGATAACTATAGTTAGATCAAATAGTGAAAGTTTTAAATCTCAAAAGTTTTCACCATCAGGTGTCTGAGCTATCAGAAGTAGAAGCTGAAAGTAATCAGAACTTTTTCGCTCATTCGGTCTCTATTCCCTTCGGCCGTTAAACCTTAGAGGCTGTACACCTCTTCATTTATTGTCCTTAATAGTGTTTATTTAAGACAAATTTCCCGAATCTAAGTTATTAGTACGCCTGTCAATTTAAACGTCGAAGCCTCTGTGGATATCAAGTCCAGTCCACTAAGGTTAACATTCGAAAGTTTTATTCTCAGCTATTCCCTGAATGAGAATGATTAAACTCTTGTTTAAAATAACAAGAGATTATCCACAGTTTTTAAATATTTATAGTTATTTTGGGGATAACAATGTTCCAAATTTGAATTTGAATTTGAATTTTTTATTATTCTCCAGCTGACGGTCTAGTGGAGGTGGTTGAGGATGAGAATACAGGGAAACGACAATCTGAAACCCCTCCTCCTACTTACGAGGAAGCACTCTACAGGTCAGATATAATTTATTGTGATATGAACAGTTGTAAAGCTTATGCCTTAACTATTGAGCTCAGACCGTCCATTAAATGTTGCAGGCAGGACTTGGGTTTTGAACCAAAATGCATATTTTTTTTCTCATGCAGGGGCGGATACAGGATTTGAGTGAGGGGGGGGGGCAAGATTTTTTAGGAACAAAAAAATTTCATAATTAGGAACAAAAATTCGCGTCGCATGCGAAATTTTTTTTTTACTTAAAAGACTCAAAAAAAGTCAAAATTAATGACTAAAGACCAAAAAATAGATTTTTAACTTTTCACACATTATAGTTTATTAAGACAGATATTTTTCCTGTTTTGCACTAGGGTTTCTTTCCCTTGCATGCTATTGAGAAGCTATTCTGAAAATAGGAACAAAAAATTCCAAATTCAGTCTGTCAGGGGGGGGCGAATGTCCCTCCGCCCCCCCCCCTGTATCCGCCCATGTTCTCATGTCAATCATTAGAATTTGTTTGTAAATTAAAAATAGAAAGCCATCAAATTAAAAGAATCATGAATAATATTTTGCTGGGCCTTGGGATTCGTGCCAAAATACGCATTTTTTCACGTGCTAACCTTTAGAGTTGTTTGAGAGTTTGTTTGTGCTTTTAAGTAAAATGCCATCGAATTGAAATATTTTATACAATCAATTTAAGGAACTCTGTCCTATTGTACTGTACTGTACTTATTGTATTGTACTGTACTGTACTTATTGTATTGTACTGTACTATACTTATTGTATTGTACTGTACTGTACTTATTGTACTGTATTGTACTGTACTGTACTTATTGTACTGTACTGTACTGTACTTATTGTACGTTTCATAATATTTAAGGAACTCTGTTCTATTGCCTCGTGAAACCAGTTCTGTTGAAATCATACCAGAAGGACCAATTACAATAATAGGTAACATTGAAATTATATATATTGTGTCCAGTTACTTTAATAGATAACATTTAAACAATATATATTGTATCCAGTTACAATAATAGGTAACATTGAAACAATATATTGTATCCAGTTACAATAAAAGGTAACATTTAAACTATATATTGTATCCAGTTACAATAATATATAATAGTTAACATCAAACTCTAGTTTCTCAAAGGTTTGCAAATAATAAGTTTAGAATTTGTGGTGAGTGTTCCTTTCTAAAAGAAATTCTATATTTTGTTAAGTCATTCAGACTTTAAGTTTGGGTTGCACAAATTACAATACATTTGATTTGAACTTGTGTCAAATTTGATCTTATTTTAATAATCATTAACAGTTTTAATACCTTCAGTAAGCTAATAATTCAACATAAAATTATCATAATTAAGTCTTCATTCATCTTAATTTGAGAAGATCATAAAATATAGTTCTTATTAAGTTATTTGTTCTGGCAAACTCAATTACTTTAATTAACTTCCAAAACATAAAATTTAAAAAGGAAACTTACATGATTTTATGATAAGCGGATTTTTGGTTAAATTGATTTAGAAAAGGTATTATTGAAATTTTTATATTAAAAACGCATAATATTTTTATTTTGGATTTAAACTATTACAATATTTAATATCCGAGACGAGTAATGTTGAAACTATATAATCAACGACTTTTACCAATTCTTTTTTACTTACCCCTTCTCTTAATATTAAAGAAAATGGAAATTTTATCAAAAAATATTTTTTAAAACCGATTATTTCATTATTTCATTATATGGAGTTCAGCGTTTTTGCTAAATGCATTAGTTTAGAGCTGAAAATTACTTTTTATTGAACAAATCTTGAATTCTTAATTTTCTATTATATATTTTCTTGATTAATTTCGTATTAAAGGTACTGCCGTAGTTATTTCAAGTGAGCCTACATTTAAAGAAAGGGCATGTATACCTGTTTCAATTTATTTCGCCGGTGTTTCTGAAACAAGAAACTTTTGTAGAGAAATCACAAATGGAAATAATCAATTTTCAAAATTATAAACATGGATATCAATATCTGATTCATACTTGATCAGACAAGGTTTAAATTAGGCTTACAGTCCCTTTAATTATATATTTTAAGGATACCGTAGTTATAATAGAACGATCTATAATATCACTTCAAACTAAGCTTACAGTCCCTTTAATTATATATTTTATCCTAGATAATTCTCTTCAAATTAAGCTTACAGTCCCTTTAATTATATATTTTAAGGATACCGTAGTTATGATCGAACGATCTATAATATCACTTCAAACTAAGCTTACAGTCCCTTTAATTATATATTTTATCCTAGATAATTCTCTTCAAATTAAGCTTACAGTCCCTTTAATTATATATTTTATCCTAGATAATTCTCTCCCCTCCTACAATGAAACACGAATACGGGTCTTTGAAAATTCTATTTCGATTATTCAAGAAGAGTCAAATGTACTTGATACCTGCTCCACCCAACCAAGCGACCAAAGTCCGCCAACGCTTACGGAGTGTACAGTCGACAGTACAGAAGAGAAGGAAGAAACCAGTTTGCTCCCACACGAGGGTTCAGGCAGTACATCGGAAAGTAGTCTTTCCGGTCCGGTGTGTACAGTTGTACATGAAGAACAGACTCAACAGAATGAAGACGACAGGGCTTCGGTTTCAATAATCATCGAGAATAAACATGAAATAATTTCTTCCTCGGCGGTTCAAGTTATTGTTTAATTTAATTTAATTTTTTTCCTTATTACAATTAAACCTTTTTCGAATACAGTGATACCAATAAAACTTAGATAAAGGAATACGGATGTTTTGAACAAACTTTTGATTTAAACTATGAACATAAAGCACAACCATTGTGCAGTGTAAACAGACCCCTTTCACTAACTAAGCTGAATTTCTTTGTGTAAACATATTGCTTAAATGTCGTCTTTCTATTTCACAGTTTTATGAGTCTCACTGTACAAACAAGACACAATAATTCATCTCTGTAAGTAAAAATATATCCCTTTTCCTTTATTTTTAAAACCACTAGTTCTGGTAATGACCTCCTAATCTTTACAGAGTAATTATTTTGAAAAAGGATTTTTTTGGTATTTTTAGGAATAAATTTTTTTAATTAAATACTTCTCTTTGAAGCACTAACACAGATTTTTACAAAGGTCAGAAAAAATATAAACACATTTTTCAACTTATCCATAAAACATAATATTTTTTGCATTATCATGCATCTCGAAGTTGTACACAACTTATACAAATATTCCCTAAGCTATTTCTCGTAATGGCCATGAAAATGTTTAAGTCTGCAACATGAAAATGTTTAAGTCTGCAACATGAAAATGTTTAAGTCTGCAACATGAAAATGTTTAATCTGCAACATGAAAAGCAAGTTTTAAAGTTTATCTTGGATGTGTAAAAACAAACAAAAACCTGCTTCAAATTTAAAGCATTTAAGTTAAAACTGAAGCCATACTTGTTATTTATCTTTTTTATTAAAAAAACATTTAACTTCAAACCAACAAATCTTTTGTCTCATTTCATAATTGTTGAAGTTTCACAAGTTTGAACTTTTAGACGGTTTTTCTCAAAACTAAGAACTTTCATCAATGATTAACAAAAATTTAATATAATTCAATTTACCTTTTTTATCCTAATATTTCAAAGGAAACGTTTTTTGTGTTAAAAGATGCAAGATTTTAACACAATTAAATTTTTTTAATTATAATTCTCAGAAGTTTGATAAAATGTTTATGCATTTTTAAGAAGTATTTGTGACGAACTTTTAATATCAAATCTATTTAACAACTGTTTACATGAATCATATTGTTTTCTCTGGATTAAATCATAAATCATTTCATTAAAAGTTTTGGATTTGCAAAATTATTTAGCTTGCTAATAGTGTTTTAGGCATATTTTTGTCGATATCAAATTCATCCTTTATATGATACGGGGTTTCTAGCTGAGCTTTAAGTGACTAATTAGACGTAACTGAATCCGATTCACAAGAGTACCTTTTCCTCCTTTATCAATGAAGAGAATATGGTTCATTTTCTCTACTGCATGATTCACTTTAAACTAAATTAATCTAGTTGAGCTTAAAGTGACTAATTAGACGTAACTGAATCCGATTCACAAGAGTATCTTTTCCTCCTTTATCAATGTAGAGAATATGGTTTATTTTCTCTACTGCATGATTCACTTTAAACTAAATTAAAATCAAAAATAGAGAAGTTGTGAGGCCCCAAAGTTGTACCAGTGATGGCGCATACAAATAACGTTTTCCTTCTGTCTTTTTTTGCAGGGATTAACCCGAAAATTACTCTTGCAACCACAATTAAAAACGATAATTTTTCAGTTTAAAAAGATATAATATCTCATTTATCGACCAGGAGATAAAGGTTTGAAAAGGTACATACAGTGGTAAACGATTATATCTATACAATGAAGACGACTTTTTATTTCAAGTTTTGATTGTTAATAAGCTTTTTTCAAATTACAAGTTTACAAGTAATCAACGAGACGCTTTTTCAATCGACAGCTTCTCTTGACTTCTATATTTATGTGTATCCTTGCTGTTTAACAGCGTGATATAAATCAAAATTGAAATTAAAAGTCGTCTTCATTGTATTGATAAAATCGCCTACCACAGTGTGTAAATCGAACATGTCATTTTACAAGAGAAGGGTCACTTAAAAATAAGTCTACAGTCCCTTTAAAGTTAATATTTTGCAGGCAAAACGTTCAAGCAGAATTATTTTCCACCTTGGCCATTGTAGGAACATGATTGGTTCTCTTCTGAACTAAAACTTGTCTTATAACATATATATATTCTGCTAAAAAAAAAGTTTTCCTTATATTTGTAGATTTAACAATATATCATGTTTAAAAATCTATTTTGAGAACATAAATCCATCTTAAGTTATCATATATTAAACTATTTTTTAAACAGGTTTCCTGAATGTTATTTTTGGAAAGTTGATAATAATTATTATTATCATCAATATTATTATACATCTCATACATTTGTTGTAAAGCTGTAATGTTGAAAATTGTATCTGTTGCTTTTAATTCTAGTGTGACTGAGAGACTGAGGAGTTACTGAGTTGCCAGTTTTCTCCTCAGATTATTAAATATTTGACTACCACAGATAACATAGAAAGCACAGAAGATGTCGTAAATATGTTAACTCTATGTTTTTTTTTGGAACAAGCTACAGAATTTAAACGAGAACGTTTCTAGGGTTATCTGTGTAATCTGTGATTACTAAAAACTCTTAAATTTTCTCGATCACATTTTCTTTGTTTGTTTTTGGACCAAGATGAGAAATATTGTCAAAACAGAAATGCATAAAATAAATATATTTTCTATCAATTTTCTTTAAAAAGTGAGAGATTACCAAAAAAACGGATTAAACAAAATATTTGATTTTTAAAGGTTTTGCTTTAGAAGGGAAGCTTGACGGAGTGGGTTTGAGCTCGTCACTAACATATTCTTTTTTGCAAGCATAATTTTTTCTTGATTCAGGGTTACCCACAAAGGACGAGACTTCGAAGACGACTGTACGGAATTTGTACTGACTGTTTCCTTATATTCACGGTTCCCCGCAACTGTAAAATTGTGGTTTCTTTGCCAAATAATAGAATCACCAAGGGATGTAATCCGTCGTCTTTGCAATAAGGACAAAGATCAGGGACAGAAGGGAATCGGTGTTAGGTATAGATCATGTAGTGACATACAGTACATTGGATAAATGAGAGTTGCGGCATCTGTGTACACAGATCTGGGGTATGTAAACAGTAGACAGTTTACTCTACCCTTTCTCCGAGAATCACTCATTTAATGACTTTATTCGAGCCATACAACTTAATTCAACCTTGTGATGATAATATCTTTGAAGTTACAAGTTGTCTTTATAAATCCTTTGAGGATAACCCTTTAATAACTTCAGATTATTCCGCGGTAAAATTGTAAATTCTAGAACTAGAAGCTTGCTAACTAATGAATTATATGTATTCATTTATATCGAATACTATTCCGGTGACATGACATAACATATAACTTGGTTTTACGGACTCTAAACATTCATGATTCAAGTACAATTCACACTTGTTTACTCTCACTCCTATCACCTTTCAGAGCTATACGAGTCCTTACTTTCGAACCTATTTCAATCATTCAAATAAAGATTTTATTTTTTGAATTAAAAACAAATTTCTCAATTGATCAATTGTATTTGACTTTAAACCAAAATGTGGACGGTTTTATACCAAATTTTTTTCAAATTACGCCTTTTAAACGAAGTTGAAAACAAACTTGTAAACTTCTCAATGAAAGGGTAGGACCGTATGGCGAACGGGGGAAGGCAGACGGCCATAAGCCACAAGATTTTTCCCTTCCATGCCACATATAAGCTTTTTTGTCTTCCGGCAATTATGAGCCACAACCGTACGGTCTTTCATGACACGGCATTTGAGCCTTCGAGCAATTATTACGTTTTTAAATGGTAAAGCTGGTGCATTGAAATTGTGATTTTCAAAGTAAAAATATTAAAATATATTATTCAAAAAACTGTCTTTAGAAAACCACAAAATTTCAAAATTTACTAATCGAATTTCCATTACACATCCAGAACTATTTATAAAGGATTGGGATGAGAAAAATGGAAAGAGAAAAAAATGAATAGGAAAGCTTATCTCATTATTGGACCTTATTTTCTCTATAGAAAAATAAATGTGGCTCGAACTGTCGATTCATATCAACCTATGCAATAATTGGATCAGTTTTAATTGTTCTACATTTTCTTAAAAAATGCCTTTGTTAATCAAGATATTTAATTTAATAAAACAACATATTTCATTTGCAAAATATAATTATATAAATTTCAACATTTTATCACATAAAAATACAACTTTTCCTGTGGGTGACACAAACTTGGTCCAAATACGTAAAATTACATTATTTCAAAGTAATAAAAATGTTATTAAAACTTAGTCAAGTTTGATTAGTTTTTGAAGTTTGTATAAAAATTCCAAAAATTAAATTTATCAAGCTGTCGATTCAAATTACAAATTAACGGCACTTACTAGTCTTGAGTTTTGTTGCTCTTGTTCACTTAATCTCGAAATCTGATAGGGACACTTTTAAATTTGAAGATCAACGCTTGCTCCATCAATTAAAGTTAACCCTGCAGGATGTGACCACCACGGGATATATCTGCAGGATGTGGCCACCACGGGATATCCCTGCAGGATGTGGCCACCACGGAATATCCCAGCAGGATGTGGCCACCACGGGATATCCCTGCAGGATGTGGCAACCACGGGATATCCCTGCAGGATGTGGCCACTCCGGGAAATTCCTGCAGGATGTGGCCATCCCGGGATATCCATGCAGGATGTAGCCACCATGTGATATCCCTGCAGGATGTGGCCACCACGGGATATCGAACAGGAAATAAATTAATCTGTAGGTGTTTAAACAAATAGAGAGCAATGTTTGATTCACAACACAAGAGTTCTGACTACCAAAGAACTACCAATTACAACTAAAAAAGTCAAAGTTCTAATGCATGGAAAGTTAATTGCAGTTGCGTATACTCTGCGTACATATTGAAACCAGTTCTCTCTGGGCGGAATTTGTAAACAATAATAGATGTATCAGTGTTCGTTTAGTATCCGAGGAGGTTAAAAGCATTAAATTTTGATAATTTTAATAATTCACATAATAGTTTCCTATGACCAGAATATTTTATTGATTTTTTTATGTGAAAGATGGATTCCATGTCAGGCTTCGACATCCGTCTTGTGTTTACATTACCACCCAGAGACAGTACACTGCAGTACAAAAGATGCGTACCCCTCTGAAATAACTTTCCTTGCATTTTAACCTTGGCTTAAAGTTATTCTTTATTCTACATAAAAACTGAAACATTTTCGTTCTTCATTAGTATAATTTTAGAAACAAATAAATTATGATATTAAAAACAAGGGTTGTATGATAATATGTTTTAAAATATGTAAAATACATTATAATTAAACTTGAACTGTTGGTTTCAACAAAAAACTAGGTATTTACGAAAGTAAAAACTGAAATCTCTAAACCTTTATCATACAATATTTATAATTTATTTCTATTTTAGATAAGAAGTTTTATCAAATATTAAAATGCATTTTTAAATGGAATGTTTGAGATTGACGTAGATTTGGCATCGATAACATAATTCTTTACAATTTGTAAATAAATCTAATTCATAACTTTTTAAAAAGTATTTTAGGTTTTCAGATTGGAATGTACGATTGCAGATCGTGGAGAAACTTGTTGATATATAGATATACTGAGAAAATTAACAAAAATGGAATGCATACATTTAATACAGTGCGTTAGATCCATTAAAAAATGGATTTGGAGCGAACCTTTTTTCCCAAATCGGTTACCTAATTAATCTATTGGAATTAAAGATCGTTAAAAAATTGGGATTTTTCTATTTTTTTTTCTAAAAATTTCGTAGATTTTAGTTGATCAACTGGATTTGGTCTATCATTTGCTTTAAAGATCATTGTCTCTTGTTTATCAATTGAAACTGGTCCATCATTAGTTTTAGAGATCGTTGACTTTTAATTATCCAATCCCTTGGCATTTGTCGATCCTTTTCTTTAAAGAGAGTTGGATGTTGTCGATCCTTCAAAGATCGTTGATTTCTTGAAGGAAAATCTTGGATACGAATGCTGCAACTATCCCGGCAACAACAGTTCCTAAAAAATATAATATTTTTTGCTGATCAAAAAAAGAAAAACATTTAATGACGTTGGTTTCCTCTAGTTAAAAATATAATATTTTTAGCTAATCAAAAGAACATTTTATAACGATGTTTTCTATAATAAAAAAGACAAGTTGTGTAAATACAGGAAATAAAAATTTACAAAAAAATTTAATTCACATAAATTAACCTAATTCAACGAATTTTTTTTTGTCAATTTAAAAAAAAACTATTTAAGAAAACTAATTACAAACCAAATATTTCTAACTAAAAATAGAAGAAAAAATTTTCTATAAAAAAGTTTTACAAGTACAGAAAATAAAAAAGCTCATGATTACAAATAATTTGACGAAAGTTTTTTTTGTCAATTCATATTATTTTTAAGCTTATCAGTAGGAGAAAAAAAGATTAAATTGTATGACGAGATTTCCTCCGAAATATCAAGTTGTGTAAATAAAAACAATAAGAAATTACTAAAAAAAAGTTTAGAATTACTGACTAATTCAACGTTTTTCGTCGATTTAAAAAAAATTCTATTTTTAACGTGTGTTTCGAATATTTCACATTTTAATTTCACCAACAAATTTCTTAGACACTTAAGAAAAAGTGTTTAGTGATTAAATAATGTATTTTCTATGCGTGTTTTTCCAAAAGAATTCTGGAAGTAGAATTTCTGCTGTATTTGAGAAGTTTACAATTGTTTGAATAAATGCTTAGTTAAACAATTCAGGAAAGTTAAAAATAAAACATAAAAGATTGTATAGAACAGATTTAAGCAATTTACTTCAAAGGAAATGCTTTAAAATGATATTTTATAAACTTTTACAATAAAACATTTTATGTTAAAAAGTACGGAGAACTAGGCAAGAAGCAGAAACTACCCAGCTATTTATCTTACATATGCTATATTAAAGCACATACGAGTATGTGTGTGTGTGGAAAGGGATTATTTATGCAAAAAAAATGGTTTAATAAATAACCAAATGGCCATAAACTATTTAAATGATTACCAGTTCCATAAGTAACTGCATGTTTTTATTTATTTATAATTACCTATAGTTCCATAAGTAACTGCATGTTTTTATTTATCTATAATTACCTATAGTTCCATAAGTAACTGCATGTTTTTATTTATTTATAATTACCCATAAGTAACTGCATGTTTTTATTTATCTATAATTACCTATAGTTCCATAACTAACTGCATTTTTTTATTTATCTATAATTACCTATAGTTCCATAAGTAACTGCATGACCATAAACTGACATCTGTATGGGTTGACCATATAAATACTGGAATAAAGGTACCCTTCCCTCGGTCGGCAGAATACTCTAAAATACAAACTTCATGAAAAACAAAAGATCCCAAAAAAGCAAGAAAAAAAACACGAAATACGAGACCTGAAACGCCAAGATTTTAAGAGCATTTAAGGAAAAGATGAAAAGTAATATTTCAGTAAATTTTCTGTCTTTTCAGAACAAAAAAACGAGCCCAAAACCGATAGTTATAACACAGTCGCTTTTGGATCTTTTATATTTCGTTTTTGAGTATATTTTCTGTCAGAGATTTAAATTCGGCATATAGCGTAAGAAAAACAAATTATTTGAATAAATTTTTTTTTTGAACATTTGTCTTCCCTACAAAATTTTGACCTTGAAAGAAAACATCACTTTCTCCGTCCCTTTCTCGAAATTATTTTGAATTGCTTTATTTAAAAGAGAAAGGGTCTCGTCGTGCTCAATACTATTTTTAAAATAGTTTTTGTTAGATGTTAGCTCTCGGCACAAGACGAGTTACTAGATAGTAGATTATAATATTTGAGCCCAAACCTGACACTCAGTGTCAGGTTTTGAACATAAGCACGGTTTGGAACTTTCTTCCCCTGGTATAAGCCTATAGTATACCTGTAGGATCTTCCCTCCCTCGTAATTAACTTCAGCATAGCTTGAAGCTAGGAGAGGAAGAAGAAGAAGAGGAAGAATAAACATGAAAACTCCGTACAGGGTGGCAGTGTGGGACAACCAGTAAACCATCCTTAAAGGGATTGAAGCCGTTAGTGACTCTCCATTTAGTGTCTGTTTCACAAAGGTACCCTTTAGTCATTTGTTTAGTCAAGAATGAATAAAAAATTCTTGTTTTCTAACTGAAAACTAACTATTTAAAGTGATTTGCGGATTCAGGCTTCAGAAAAATTTCAAGAAATTGCCTGAATTTAACATTTTCAATGCAAATTCATTGTTAGTCAAATAAAGGTTTACGCAGTTAGAAATCGGACATAAACTTTCCATACATTAGGACAACACACCTTAAACTTACGTCTACAAGCAAATATCGTCCAATAGATCAGTAATTTCAAATATTTCGTCCTATGGATCAGTAATTTCATATATATTGTCCTATAGATCAGTAAATTCAAATAACAAACAGAAATTCTTTACCAACGCTAAAAAACTCTTGCATTACCTTATAGCACTGCAAACTGTAATCACGGATTACCAAATAGCACTGCAAACTGTAATTATGGATTACCTAATAGCACTACAGATTGTAATCATGGATTACCTAATAGCACTGCAAGATGTAATCATGGATTACCTAAAATCACTGCAAGCTGTAATCATGGATTACCTAAAAGCACTGCAAGCTGCAATCATGGATTACCTAATAGCACTCTAAACAAACAGAAACAATAACAAACAAAATTCTTTACCAACGCTAAAAAACTCTTGCATTACCTTATAGCACTGCAAGCTATAATCATGGATTACCTAAAAGCACTGAAAGCTGCAAACATGGAATACTTAATAGCACTCCAAGCTGTAATCATGGATTACCTAATAGCACTCCAAGCTGTAATCATGGATTACATTATAGCACTCCAAGCTGTAATCATGGATTACCTAATAGCACTCCAAGCTGTAATCATGGATTACCTTATTGCACTCCAAGCTGTAATCATGAAAACTATTGAACTCATCCACCGCTGAAGAGCAACACTTGCCAACCTGACACTCATATTTATCCTCCAGTACTTGTGCATTATCTCCTAAACAATTCAATAAAATCCATTGTAAAAAGGTTACCCCCGAAGAAATCCTTTTGTGGGTAACCCTGTACAAGCATTAACAAACACCATAACTAACAACTATCCAACCAAACAAGCACTTTATAACAAACAACCTACGAGACAACTAATCATACACATAAAACCTTAACTTTAACCAAAACAACTAACTAACCAAACTAGCCAAATAACTTATCTAAAAACTGAACAACTAACCACTTAACCAAACAATTAACTAAACAATTTAACAACTCACCAATCAAACAACTAACTAACCAAACTAGCCAAACAACTTATCTAAAAACTGAACAATTAACCACTTAACCAAACAATTAACTAAACAATTTAACAACTCACCAATCAAACAACTTTTCAACCAAACATCGATCCAAAACAAAGAAACCAACCATCCATTAGAAAGACCAAAATTAGAAGAATTAAGCTAAATTTCTCCAATCTATTTCATAAAAATAATTTAAACACTAACACAGTCTAATATTTGAGAAAAGACCTGTGAGGGCATAACGTGGGGTTCAGAGGCAGTTTCCTCATTGTCACTCTCCGACAGATGACGAAATCTGAAAAATGTATGATAAAAGAAGAATTCTCATGATGACTGATGACCCATAATAGTCATTGTAAATCAACTTCGATAACCTAAAACCATATAATGTACATATATAAAGGATTCCTGGTAGAAGTCACGTAATGCATCACACATGACAATTTTAGGTTATAAATTTCACTTAAAATTACCCGCAAATTTTTTTGGAAATTGAAAGTTTAGGATTTGTCAATGTCTAAAAATGTTTTGAACAAATTTGATGAGTAGCCGTTTTTGAGAAAATAGGGTTTGAAATATTGGCCTAAAAGGATCCTAGTTTGCCAGGACTGAAAATTGAAGAAAGGTGATAATTATCAAATCTAAGGTTTACATAAAAAATTAAGAAAGTAAACCCGAGATATTTTTTTATTCTAAAGGGAGTTAGTTTTCTAACATTAATCTCTCCTGACTAAATTTTCATTGATATGTAAAATATCATGATTAAAAACATGGTTCTTGTTTAATAAAATAACTGTCGCCACAAAACCCTAAACCAACTGTACTACAGAATAGAAAATAAACAACCAATTTATTTAATACAAAAAATAAACTACCAAATTAATTTGATACGTTTTTTAAATGAAAACTAAATTATTAGGGATAGAAAATGAAGTAAATAGGCAGACTGAAATGTTTGTGAAATGTTTGTTTGTCCCAATAATCAATTTTTTTGTTCAAATTTCACCAGTCTTTTGTCGTTTTAATGGAAGACTTTGTTGTTTTGTTCCATCTTGTCATTTATTTCATTTTTACTGCCTAACTTTTAATTCTTGACCCAAAATTTGATATTCTGTACCAAATTTTCATTTTCAGTTCCAAAATTGAATTTTCAGTCCACATAATAAGCCAAGAATTTTGGAGTCCTCTAGTAATAAAAATCTGTCGTAGAATGATTTGCATTTAAAAATTAAATTTGTATTAATTGGGTAGTTCATTTGTGACAACAGTTATTTTATTAAACAAGAACCACGTTTTTTATCATGATATTTTACATATCAATGAAAATATAGTCAGAAGAGATTAATGTTAGAAAACCAACTCCATTTGGAATAAAAAATATCTCAGGTTTACTTTCTTAATTTTTTATGTAAACTTTAGATTCGATGATTATCACCTTTTTGCAGTTTTCCGTCCTGGCAAACTAGGATACTTTATTTAAATTTAATTTAATTCTAATGTGATGAAAACCGTAAAAAAAGGCCAAACATAAGAAAACCGACTGTTTATAAAATAAAAAATATGTTGAGTCTATTTTTGTAACTTTTACTGTTAAACTTTATAGATTCGATGATTATCTCCTTTTTGCAGTTTTCCGTCCTGGCAAACTATGATCCCTTTTGCCCAATATTTCAAAACCCTTTCTCTCAAAAACGGCTACTAATCAAATTTGTTTAAAACAATTTTTTTAAATCGGCTGATCCTGTACTTTCAATTTCCAAAAACAATTTGGGGTAATTTTAAGTTCAATGTAAAACCTAGATTTATCAAGTGAGGCATATGGTATTTACAACAAATTGTCATCTTCTTTGTTGAAGTATTAAATCTATACCCAAAGATTGCTAAAACTCTGCTATACATAAATCTTTCTCAATTTTATTATTTAGTTGCAAATATTTTTTTTCTGCTAAAGTGGAGGTGGGTGGAGGGAGGGTGGAAGGGTTACCTAGATGTGGAAGTAACACTAGGTCCCTCCCTTGGATCAGCTTGAACTCCTGGAGCCCCCGGAGCAGAACTGATTTCCTCTTCTCCAATCTGCAGCTGCAGGTCAGCAAAACTATCAGTCTGAATTCAATCATTTGAATTCTAATTCGATTAAGAATATTTTTATAGTAGTTTTGTCGGAGATATGATACGACACTACCTCCCCTAGTGGTAAAGAGAGCATTTAAAGGTGATTAAGAAAAATAATCATGTTGTCTTCTTAATTACAATATTCCTATAACCACTACATGTTGTCTTCTTAATTACAATATTCCTATAACCACTACATGTTGTCTTCTTAATTACAATATTCCTATAACCACTACATGTTGTCTTCTTAATTACAATATTCCTATAACCACTACATGTTGTCTTCTTAATTACAATATTCCTATACATGTTGTCTTCTTAATTACAATATTCCTATAACCACTACATGTTGTCTTCTTAATTACAATATTCCTATAACCACTACATGTTTCCTCTAAATAATATTACTCTATTTTGAAATGTTCCTAATCTCCACTACATGTTAATCCGATTTTTCATGTTTTAACTCTATTTTCCTGATATTAACTACATGTTAACTATATTTATTATGTTTTAACTCTATTTTACTGATATTAACTACATTATATCCTCTTTGTTATGTGTTAACTCTATTATCCTGATATAACTACATGTTACCTCTACTCCTTCCAACTCTATTTTCCTGATATTAACTACATGATACCTCTACTCCTTACAACTCTATTTTCCTGATATTAACTACATGTTACCTCTACTCCTTACAACTCTATTTTCCTGATATTTACTACATGTTACCTCTACTCCTTACGACTCTATTTTCCTCATATTAACTACTTGTTACCTCTACTGCTTACAACTCTATTTTCCTGATATTAACTACATGGTACCTCTACTCCTTACAACTCTATTTTCCTGATATTAACTTCATGTTACCTCTACTCCTTACAACTCTATTTTCCTGATATTAACTACATGTTACCTCTACTCTTCACAACTCTATTTTCCTGATATTAACTACATGTTACCTCTACTCCTTACAACTCTATTTTCCTGATATTAACTACATGTTACCTCTACTTCTCACAACTCATTACTAATTTCCAATATATATTTATATATATAAAAATTTATCTATGAATTTATATAGTTATTTATGAATACATCTATATAGATATTTATGTATGAATCTATAAAAATATTTATCTATGAATATATATATAAATATTTATGTATAAATCACTATAAATATTTATCTATGATTATATATATAGATATTTATGCATAAATCTATATAAATATTTATCTATGAATCTATATAGATATTTATGTATAAAACTATATAAATATTTATCTATGAATATATATAGATATTTATGTATAAATCTATATAAATATTTATCTATGAATATATATAGATATTTATGTATAAATCTTTATAAATATTTATCTATGAATATATATAGATATTTATGTATAAATCTTTATAAATATTTATCTGTGAATATATATAGATATTTATGTATACATCTTTATAATATTAATCTATGAATCTATATAGATATTTATGTATAAATCTTTATAAATATTTATTTATGAATCTATATAGATATTTATGTATAAATCTTTATAATATTTTCATATGAATATATATAGATATTTATGTATAAATCTAAATAACTGTATTTCCTGACCTGAGATATGTTAACGGAATTAGAATCTGTTTCCGCTTTAGCCACGGTAAAAAAATCTGATAGTTTTCAAAATATTCAGAGTTTAATTGATATTTCTCACCAATGATCCAAACTTCAAAATATAAAATACCCCTTTTAATTTTGTAGTTCTACTTTTTCTATGTATTTTCAATGTTGTGCTTCATCACAAAGGTGAAACACTTAGAATTAGTGCTAATTTTGATCAATTTCAATTGTTAACTGATACATTTTGGTTAAGTATGTATTTCTTATTTTACAAAAAGTAAATTTTGGACCACAGTTGAAAGTTGATTTAATTGATAGATCTTCACATCTTATATGTTTTTTTCCTTAAAACTTTAGAAGACCAGAAAGCTTCCAGGTTGAAAAATATATTTTGACAAACACGTCTTTTCTCCCCTTAAATGAGAAAATTCGAAGGTTAAAAGATATATTTTGATTTGTTCCTACAAGATCCTCGTCTCGCCAAACAAATTCATTTTCATGCCGACCTTCAGATCTAAAATGTAGAAAATAAATTCAAATTCATGGAGATAACATCAAATATCAAAATAACCTTCTTCAGTTTTTAACTTGACAAACCTGGAATAATTTGATAAAAGCTGTCGATCTAGTAAAACTGCATCCTGCTCTAATTCCTTCAAAAACCTAAAAAAGAAAATGTAAAAAATAAATTTTCCAAATCCTAGCAACCAACTGATAATGATAATTCTTTTAATTATAAGTTTTAACTTGTTATTACAAACTTAGCGTGCTCTTTTAACATTTCTGTTTCAATGTTCCAATCCTGTTCTTGCTCCTGTTTCTGTTTAAAAGTTCCATTCCTGTTCTTGTTACTATTCCTTTCCTAATGTTCCATTTTTCTTCTTGTTCCTATTCCTTTCTTTATGTTCCATTTCTGTTCTTGTTCCTGTTCCTGTTTTAATGTTCCATTACTGTTCTTATTCCTATTCCTGTTTTAATGATCCATTCCTGTTCTTCTTCCTATTCCTTTCTTAATGTTCCATTCCTGTCCTTTTTCCTGTTCCTTTTTTATGTTCCCTGTTCTTTATCCTGTTCCTGCTTTAATGTTCCCTTCCCGTTCATTTTTTAAATTTTTCATTCCTGTTCTTGTTCCTATTTCTATCTTTATGTTCCGTTCTATTCCTATTCCTGTTTTAATGTTCCATTCCTGTTCCTGTTTCATTGTCCCATTCCTTTTCTTGTTCCTGTTTCTACAAGTCCTGATACTGATAGTCTGTGTCCTAGCTACTGAAACAAGGACTATTGCTACTGTATGTACCTTTTAATACTAATAGTCTCTGTCCTAGCTACTGAAACAAGGACTTTTGCTACTATATATACCTTCTAATACTGATAGTCTGTGTCCTACCTACTGAAACAAAGACTACTGCTACTATATATATACACCTTCTGATACTGATAGTCTGTGTCCTAGCTACTGAAACAAGGACTATTGCTACTATATATACCTTCTAATACTGATAGTCTGTGTCCTAGCTACTGAAACAAGGACAATTGCTACTTTATGTACCTTCTAATACTAATAATCTGTGTCCTAGCTACAGAAACAAGGACTATTGCTACTATATATACCTTCTAATACTGATAGTCTGTGTCCTAGCTACAGAAACAAGGACTACTGCTACTAAAAGGTTCCAAGCCAGAAAGAAAATGGAGAACACAACTTGACAACTCCAGTAGACCTGTAATATAAATTCACATTTTTCAAAAATTAAAAATATCAAATTGCTATTTTTCGTTATCCTACAAACATGCTTTACATTTTTTTATCGTAGAAGATTTTAAACTTTTTTTTTTATTAATTCAGTTTTTACGGTTGAACCCTATTCAACCCCAACAACCGCTAACCCTTCCTTTTCCCATTTGAAGAATGAATCTCACATTACTTTATGCGGACTTTTCGTCATGGAAAAGAAAAAGTTTAAATTGAAGTAAACCTAAAAATCCCATTTTTATTTATTCTTTGAGAAAAAAGGTTTCTATCGATTCTCTTTAGTTATATTTCGAAGAAAAACCCCCTTCATAAAGAACGTATTTCACGTGTTCGTGTAGCAATAAGTTCTTTGATAAAAACTATTTATCACTCTTTCCTTTCTGTAAAATTTTGAAGATACACTCAACCCATTCTATTAATTCGTTTCAAGAATGTATTTCACACGTTATTGAAAATTTACTTTTTGATAAAAACAGTTTCTCACGTTCTCCTTTCGTTAAATTTAAAGAAACATCTGTCTCTCCAAAATTTGTTTTTTGATAAAATCTACTTCTCACGTTCTCCTTTCTGATAAATATTCAGGAGACACGTAATCTCATCTATCCATTCTTTTAAAGAATGTGTTTCAGTTTATTCTTTGAGAAAAAACATCTTAGAAAAATTGTTTCTTAACATTTTTAAGAGGAAAGACGAATCTCACGTTTCTTTACAGTTCAATGCCGAAAAAACGAAATCGCGTTATCCGCTCAGTCTAATTTATTTAAAAGATTTATCGATTCTGATGAAAACTTTATCTTATATGCTCATATTTTCTTTTATAAGATTTATCACGTTTCTAATCATTTCAAATTTGTTAAGAACCCCAACGCCATCGATCCTACCCTTTTAAAGAACATTTCTCCTTTGTTCTTTTATTCTTCGAAAAAAAAAGGTGTTGACGTTTTTTCTGTCAAGTAAAATTTTAAAGAGAAGCGAAACCATATTCAGAAATCCTATTAAAGAATGTATTACACGTGTTGATATCAAATTAAGTCTTTAAAAAAAACATTGAAAAAGGGTTCTCAAGTTACTTTACGTCATTAAGGGGTTTTCATGGATATCCGTTTATTTCAATATCGGCATTTTACTTGCTTTGAACTTTAACAGAACTATGCAATTGGACAGTGTAATTTAATCATTTGTATGATAACTCATACAAATATCAGCTCTTACAGCTGTCTTTTAGAACCAAAAACGGAATAACATGAGTATTGGGTTTCTTTCCTTTTTTGCAATTGGATTTTCAGGAGTAGTGAGATGTAAGTTTTATCGAAAACAATCCCTTTAGTTCATGATAAAATGCACAATTTCTTCTCAAGTTTTCAGTGTTTCTTAAAAAGTCTTTAATCTTTAAGATGACAATCAAAGAATTGTGATCATAAGTTTTGAAAAAAAAACCTTTGAAAATAATCTAAATTCAATTAATATTTGAACTTAACAATTAACATTAAAAGAACTAAACAGGATTCTTCAAATCAAATCAGATCAGATCAGATCAGATCAGATCCTTGGGGACACCTGCTCCCAATTCAATTCATATAAAGGACAGCGGGGAAAAAATAAGTTTATTAATAATAGAATTTTAATCATTTAAAAAATTAAAACCGTAACAGATAACACATTTGGTTTGGACAAATCTTAGGTTCTTGTTGTATTTTTAAACTAAAACTAAATGGAGAAACGAGTAAAGAATCTGAGTGCTGGGCGCAAACTCTGAATTTCTTATCCCTTAGATCTTCCCAGACCGATGTCGTAGATCTTTCATATTTTAAATTATGAATTCTGTTAGATCAAATAGTCTTATAGTTGGGAATATAAAAGATTTACACTATCAGGTTGCATATATGAAGGGATTAGACAGTTTTTTCCGATTTCTCGTTTTAAAGAAATGTATTTGCAATTGGTCACATTGATTTTATTATGTCTGAAAACATTCTCATGTCACGGGGGGGGGGGAATTTACCTGACAAACTCCAACATAGACATCAACAAGCTGGCAAGGATTGAGTGTAGAAAAATTGCTCACTACCTCTTTAATAAATTAAATTATTCATATTTTTCTAAAGTTACGTATAGATTATCAGATAATGATGAACATTAAAAAATGTGATGGATTAAAAAACATGGATGAATCATGGATGATGAATAATGATGTAAATACCTATAGAATTATATATATATGGATACGAGTAGTTAACGGTAGAAATAATGAATAATGATGTAACTACCTGTAAAATTATATATATATGGATATGAGTAGTTAACGGTAGAAATGATGAATAATGATGTAACTACCTGTAGAATTATATATATATGGATATGAGTAGTTAACGGTAGAAATGTTCAGAACAATAACAAAACTTCCAAGAATAAAAAAGATCACAAGCGCTGAACAAAACTCTCTTAAAATTCAGGAGAAAAGAAGTAAAACATTTAAATTCCAAAAAATTATTGATAAATTTTTTTTTCTTCAAATATTTTTGACGAAAAGTTGGAGAGAGTTTCCTGAGTTTATTTTCATAATGGTTTTAGAATGAAGCCGAAGCATGTCCAGAAACTTCGGATGGACAAATAATCTAAAAATAATTTTTTTAGTAAATTTTTTTTTAAGGAAAATTAGCTTTGCTGAATCTGTAATTATTTGCTAGCTCACGGATTTGTTTTATATTTATCTCATCCCACTCCCCGGATTCTTTTAAGTTCTGCTATAACCAAAGTTTGAAATTTTCAATTCACATTTTACATTTGGTTCAATAAGTAAGAGAAATATTTAGAAGTTGTATGAGTGAAATAAAAATAAAATAAATCAAGTTATTTTAATTTTGTATTTCCTATATTTCATGGTGTTTGAATTGTGTGATAATATTCCTCACCTGTAAGCCAGTCTATGAGCGTAAACCCCCAGACCGCAGAAATATGACATCACTATTATTGATACAGTACCATCCAAAATATCACTCTAGAATATGACATCACTATTATTGATACAGAACCATCCAAAATATCACTCTAGAATATGACATCACTATTATTGATACAGTACCATCCAAAATATCACTACCATCCAAAATATCACTCTAGAAATATGACATCACTATTATTGATACAGTACCAACCAAAATATCACTCTAGAAATATGACATCACTATTATAGATACAGTACCATCCAAAATATCACTATTATTGATACAGTACCATCCAAAAAATCTAGCAAAAATCAAAGTATAAGAGTTGGGGTTGATGAATATTCACCGCAAAAAAAAATTGTTTATCTTAAATAAAGGAATATAACTTGCCACTTAACGCCAACATTTCTTACTTAAATAGGAAATAAACATTCACTTTTGTGTGAAAATTGAAAATCTTGTAGGTTTGATCTCGATTTTTAATGTAGGCACTTTTAGCTTTAAGGGTCAATGCTTGATTCCTCAATTAAACCTATTCCTGAGGGGAATGAAAATCACGGAATCAAATCAATCCGTAGATCTACAGAATCTACAGATGGAGAGCAATGCCTGATCTCGAAATTCACAACACTTAAGGTCTGACCTCTGAGCTAGGAACTCTTGTATTGTGGATATCGAGCTCATATCTCAATATTTTGATAATTTGCAGATTTATTTTTATTTTATCTTTTTAATATATCCCGCATGGTAATCGTACCCAGTCAAGGGTTTAATGGAGCTTTGAAGAGAGGAGGAATAACTGTGCCCAGTGTGGATATCAAGATCAAGCGATAGGGATTATGAGTATCCAGCACAAAAGTTCCCAACTCTAGTTTAAAGTAATAATATTTTTACTTACTTTGGTTCGTACAGACACAATGTTGTATCCACTGTACCAGGCATTTGTTACAAACAATCCTTTAAAATGACAAAAATAGAAATACTATTTGGTTGACGGTTACAGATTAACGTTTTCAATTTAATTCATTGTTAAATCGGTAGGTGCTTATAAAACCAAAACGTGATTGGAACACAAGTATACAACACGTGTCACTTTCTGTTGACATTTAATTCTTAAAAGATTTTTAATTTGGAAAGAGAAGTTTAACCACACGTGTCAATGTCTGACGCCATTTAAAACATTTTTATTTAGAACAAAAACAAAACAAGAAAAACACTGGCACGAACAAACAATCAAGTTTTAACCATCATTCCGTATTAGTCGGACCTGACACAGCATCAGCATTAGCATTATCATTAGCGTTAGCTGTTAGCATCAGCATCAGCAAAATCAAATCAAATCATTCTTTTAGGGACGTCCTACACCCACACTCCAAAATTGAAGTGACTATACTAAATCAATAATGAAGTGAGGTCTTACGATTTGTAATTTTTGCTAATTTCCATTTGGTTATTCAAAAGAGTCTACAAGAAATTTTAGGCATTAAATCGGCATTTGTTATACTGTTTACGACAATAAATACGCGTGAAACAGCATCAGCATTCATATTAGCATTAGCAGTGGCATTAGCATTGGCATTAGCATCATCAGAAGCATCAGCATGATATACCTTCAGGATATTTGTTGTGAATAAAACTAGTTTACCCAGTGCAGATCCAAATATACAGGGTATTTGTTGTGAATAAAACTAGTTTACCCAGTGCAGATCCAAATATATCTTCAGGGTATTTGTTGTGAATAAAACTAGTTTACCCAGTGCAGATCCAAATATACCTTCAGGGTATTTGTTGTGAATAAAACTAGTTTACCCAGTGCAGATCCAAATATACCTTCAGGGTATTTGTTGTGAATAAAACTAGTTTACCCAGTGCAGATCCAAATATACCTTCAGGGTATTTGTTGTGAATAAAACTTGTTTACCCAGTGCAGATCCAAAAGTAAGTATGTGTAGTACTGCTGAGATTACAGGCTTATCCTTCTCATGTAGTTTAATCCCTAGGGATTTAGCAATGGTTACCCATAACCTAAAATATATGCATTATCAATCCAATTTGGAACTAACACTAACACTAAAACTAACACTAACACTAACACTAACACTAACAATCCAATCCAATGCAATCCAAACCAAACCAAACCAAACCAAACCAAACCAAACCAAACCAAACCAAACCAAACCAAACCAAACCAAATCAAATCAAATCAAATCAAATCAAACAAAATCAAATCAAATCAAAATCAAAATCAAAATCAAAATCAAAATCAAAATCAAAATCAAAATCAAAATCAAAATCAAAATCAAATCAAATTAAAACAAATCAAGGATGTGGTATGCCCATACTTAAGATTGAAAGTGACTATACAAGTCAAGTCTCAGTAATTGTGGCCATTTTGTCAATTGTTAATTTGAGTGTTTAGGTGTTTGGACTAGTAATATTAATTGTACATAATTGTATATTGTTTATGGTATATCATAAATGCCTCTAGAAATTACTTAGTATGGTAAATGAACTTGAGACTATCTAACTTACCAGTAGGGGATTTTTTTCGCTGGCGTGGTTTTCCCTTTAACAGTGGAAATGTTTTCTCTTTTCCCCCTCCTGAGCATCATGAACTTATCTTCCAGCCTCTTTATAACCTCAGAACCATTTTATCTGTCAATTTTAAAATATGTAATATTTGATAAAATGAGTATAAAATATAATTTTTTATCACAAATATCATGAAGAATGTAGATCACAGTTTTATTAATTCTCTAAATCACAGTGTTAAAAAAATCAGATCTTAGGATTGCGATTAATTTAAAAATAAGTGTAGAATCCACCTAGGACGGAGGTTTTATAAAACCCTGCGATCAAATTGACCACAATTTTGAATAAGAAGGTTTTCTAATCACAAAGAAACTGAGTTTTTGTCACAAACTCTACTTTTCTAATCTCTGTATCTTTGCTACCCAATGTCGTGGAACTTTGATATTTCAAAATATAAATTCTTTTAGACCAAATAATCTAAGTTTACAATAATACAATCTAGGTTTACATAATAAGATTGTAAAGATATTACAATGTGACATTTTTAATGTATAATTTGTATCCCCCTTTCATTTCTTATCGGTAGAACTTTTACATTATCCCTTTCATTTCTTATCGGTAGAACTTTTACATTATCCCTTTCATTTCTTATCGGTAGAACTTTTACATTATCCCTTTCATTTCTTATCGGTAGAACTTTTACATTATCCCTTTCAGTTTTCTAGAATATTTTCAGCAAATTAGAAAATAACTTGATATACAAACTAATCAGTAGTTGACAATTAATTTCAATACTCTAGGGACATTTATTATGTTTATAGATATAGAATATTTCATTTCTGTTTTGAATTAGCAATTGATAATTTGACATGATAAGGACAAATCATCAAGAAATGAGAAGTGAAATGAATCTGGTTAAATAAAAATATAATTATTTTTGGTTTATTCAGCTGTCAACAAACCACAGGTTCAAGCGCTTGTCTGATCTGAAGTCTGGAACAATATATTTTTCTTAAAATGAAGTTGTTTGAAATTGATATCGAGACAGACAAGTTTTCATAGTTTTGCCATTTAATCCCACAGTTAAAACCTACAATATCAAATTTAACCTCAATTGACGTCAATAGAGGAACTTCAAGTTTCTTTAAAGTTTATAAAAATAGAGCTGTCGGTTTGAAATAAAACAGTCCCACCGCCTCAACCCACAAGCACAGCTTGAGAAATACATTTCCTTTTGCATCGCGTGCAGCCGTATTCAGTGGAGTAGCAGTTACTATGATAGCAAGCATAGCAAGAAGTACATTCATGAACTCCAAACTAAAACAGAAGTATTCGATAAAAATGTCAACTATTATAAAAAGCAAGAAACTTTGCCACCATAAATCAAACGGTTGAAAAATCCGGTAGTTTACCTAGTTAAGCTTTACCTGGAAAAAGGTTGGATAGATTTACCTGGGATAAGGCCGGATAGTTTACCTGAAAAAGGGCTGGATAGTTTACCTAAAATAGGGCTGGATAGTTTACCTGGAATAGGGTTGGATAGGTTACCTGGAATAGGGCTGGATATTTTATCTGGAGTAGGGCTGGACAGTTTTACCTGGGGATGGGCTGGATAGTTCACCTGGAGTATGGCTAGATAATTTTACCTGGAATATGGCTGGACAGTTTCACCTGGGGTAGGGCTGGATAGTTTTACCTGGAATAGGGCTGGATAGATTTACCTGGAATAAGGCTGGAAAGTTTTACCTGGAATAGGGCTGGATAGTTCACCTGGAATAGGGTTGGATAGTTCACCTGGAATAGGGTTGGATAGTTTACCTGGAATAGGAATGATATTCTACCTGGAGTATGGCTGGATAGTTTTACCTGGAAGGGGGTTAGATATTCTACCTGGAATAGGGTTGTGATAGTTTACCTGGAATAGGGTTAGATATTTTACCTGGAATAAGGCTGGATAGTTTTACCTGGAAGGGGGTTAGATATTTTACCTGGAATAGGGTTGGATAGTTTACCTGGAATAGGGTTAGATATTTTACCTGGAATAAGGCTGGGTAAAATAATTAAATAAACATCAACCTTTATTCAGAAGAAATCTAGGCCGAGCCCCCCTCAAAATAACCACCAAAGAATGGACATTAATTTCCAGTTGGTCAATAACGGAAGTCTAGTGTGGACCAACATGGCGAGGGCTAGACCAATGACTACGTCACCACCCAACTGCACACTTAACGGTCACATGGACCAGTCATCTTGTTACCAATCCAATATAGAGCTGTTATGTATTATAATAGTTACATACATATATTATTTGATTGAAATTAATGTCGGTAAAGCAATCTCAACAACAAGTTTAGGGTTGGATGATTTTACCTGGAAAGGAAATATTGAAGCTCCAGATCTACACCCTTCACAGATAAATCCTTTGGCTTGGCAAAGATCACACTCTTGAACGTGCTTAAGTAGTTCGCCGACAAACGCTCTAAGTAATATGAACAACTTTAATATTAAATAAAATTCAAAAGCATGGAAGTTTAGCAGATTGCAAAGTTTTCATTCTTTGTTTTTTGGAAATGAATGTTAACAAAATAATTAGAATTATGGCGCGGGTATCCTCGATTTAATCTTAAATATTGCAATATTTAATTGCAATATTTAGTTGCAATATTTAATTGCAAGAACGCTTTAAAGGTAACTTGCAATTTTACACAGCAGATAAAAGTTAAGGAATTGACAGAATTGATTTTTTTTAAGGAAAAAGCGAAAACTCATTGTTGCTGAGTTCAAGGTTCAAACTTTAAAGGGTACCATTGTGAATCAAGTCAAAAAAGTTAAATCTGACCGTATTGTATATCCTAGTTTATTAAATCTGGTGCAGACTAATTGTTCCATGGAGAAAAGATAAGGATCAGGACAGAGGAATTCTTCAATCTGAATAAAATTATGTTAACGTTATGACTCTTCAAACTCTTGTTCAATTCTTTAATAATAAGGAATTTAATCTTCACCACAAACTCAAATTTTCTAATCACTTTATCTTTGCAACCTGATTGATTTGAACTAAACAGAATTATTAGCTTGAAATATCCAAGTCTTCTACATTGGGTTGCAAAGATACAAGTATTTGAAAATCTTAGTTCGTGGCAAAGACTCAATTTATTTTTTAATGTACTGCACGTATACCTACCATAGATTGTAATTGTACTTCATGTATACCTACCCTAGATTGTAAATGTACTGCATGTATACCTACCCTAGATTGTAAATGTACTGCATGTATACCTACCCTAGATTGTAAATGTACTGCATGTATAACTACCCTAGATTGTAAATGTACTGCATGTATAACTATCCTAGATTGTATTTGTACTGCATGTATACCTACCCTAGATTGTAAATGTACTGCATGTTTACAGGTTGATATATATCTAGAGAGCTTATTCATTTGTAATCTTGACATACAAACAGCTCTTAGCTTCTCTATTTTTCTAAAAATAAACACATTTTATTCTGTTTTTATAAAGAACATTAATTCTGTTGTTTAATAATAATAATGTTAAATTATGTAATCTCTTTCAAAATTGTCTTTTCTTTAACAAACAAACAAACAAACAAATATGTCTTTTAAATATTTATTACTAAAGACCCTTTTAAGAAATGTGAACCTGATAATATCCGGGTTTAGATCTTGGATATTAAATACAGGTTCCGTGTGCATAGAGTTGAGAATATCAAGGGAGAAGTTGGATACAGGATACCTCTTAAAATCCCAATCCTGGATACACAACACATCGTTGGATCAGTTAAAAATTGTCAACTGAAAGACGCATAAATCTATTTCTAAGGCTTTAAATCAAATCAAATCAACCATGGATGGTAGGGACTAGGGATGGCTTTAAGCTCAAGTATCCAGTTTGAAGTTTCCAAAAGTATATGTAGGTTTTTGTGTTCACCCAAGGATAATGGCCTAGAGACACTACACAGTTGTCCCAGTCTCAAAACTCGATGCACAATTTTCCTAACTGTTTAATACTGCATAGACTAGGAAGAAAAACGCCGGGATTTGTAAAATGACAAAATTTGTTTCATCTGCAATACACATTACACATTACACATTTAATAGAATCCCATAAAATAAAAAACCTGAAATAAATATAAATAAATTCCAACCTGAATAACCCGCGCAGGAATGATAGCTCCAGTATTCTCATGGCACCCAGTACAGAAGAATTTACCTAATAAAGGGACTGTAAGCGACATTTTCAGCGGTCCTCTATCCCAAGATGGCAATGACGGATTTGAAACCTTAATTTTATCATAAATGTGGAAGATAGCGTTGTTTTTACTAACTCGAAAATCGTTTATATCTGTGAGTTTCTTATTTTTTCTTATGAGCAAGAAATGCAAGTTACTAATGCAGAGAAACCACAAATGTAAAAAGTTTGCATGTCCAATCATAACTCATGAACCCCTTGTAGTTAGAGGGTTGGCTGAGATATTTAGGTTTCTATGCAAAGCTGGGTTCCCAAGCTGGTATTTTCAGTAATAAATGATTTGAATCTCAGGGGGAAAAGGGATTACTGGGACTTTAATTTAAAGCTTTTATATCTTTTTAAGATGCCTGTACCCCCCCCCCCCCAAAAAAAAATAGTTTTTCCCCCTACAACAGAATTGAATATTACAATCTAATGTAAATGTTCTAAAAACTTCAGACATTTTTTTATTTCTTCAGAAATCTGCAAGTTACTGTTACAGAAAACCCACATTTAAAAATGATCAAATTTCATTAATCTTTGAGCAGACAAAGGTATGAAGGGTACCATTGTGAATTTTACATGCCAATTTATAAATGGAGAATCAATTCCTGTTACGTCTAAAAAGTCCCTTTATAAACCCCCTTAAAAGATGAATTTTCTCCTGTTTATTAGACTAATGTAAATATCAACAGTTTTACCATAATTCAGTTTTAAAACTTGAAAATTTCCTGAGTTAAACTTGAAGCTAAACAGGGGTGTTTATTTTTAAGAATTGGAAAAAAATTGGACATCAAAGGCGAGTTTTTTCCAACCTTTGTTAAACTTTTCGCCAAAATTTTTATTTATTTTCCTTAAAAATTAATTAATTCAGCGAAGTAAAAACCCCAAAAAAAACACTTAGGAAAATAGCGATTTTCAACAGGGAAGTGGGGAAGGGGGGAAATACACCCCTGTAAAGATTTTACCTAAATAGTTGCAAAACCTGTAGGATTTACTGTACTTCTGCTCAACCTTCATTCCGCACCCGGAGCACTGCCATTTCTGCAGATACATTGCAGCCTGATCAACCATATCTTGGTTTATTTTTAAAAAGGAATTGCTGGGATACAACAAATTTCGTTAGAGGGGGGCGTAGCGAGATTTTCTAGAATTTTTGGGTTAATTATACATTCGAAATTCTACGATTTTATACTAAAAGATTAAGAGAAAAATGAAACAGAAAATTTAGCTGGATACAGAGCTACCCACGGATCCGGATTCCGGATCCAGTTAAAGCACATTACTTCCGTGTATCCGTATCCAGGAAGACAAAATGTTGCGGTTGGATCCGGATCCCGGATCCTAAGTACGCAATTCACTCATACTGCATACTTCAAGTCGTCTTCTCAGCCACTTCTTGTGAGGGAAACTCAGGTACTGAAAAAACCGAGGCTTGCAAAATTAATTCAGCTTTTTAATACGGATGAAAATATGATAATGCATTTAAGTTCATAATATTTGTTGGCGCATTTTTTTATATTTAAAATAATGTAGATATTCCTTTCTATTCTTAGGTTTGTACTGTACTGTGAGGACTAGCTGGGGTCTAGGAGGGGCCCACAGTAGATTTCCTCTTAGAGCTGTGGCACCCTGCAGGAAGAAGGCATTAAAAGAAGTGTTTACCAATAAATAAAGGGGGGTTTAAGCTTGATGAATTCTTAAATCGTTAAAGGCATACTTTATATAAAAAGTCCGTTCAAATTACATATCTAAATAAAAGGTCAGTTCAAATTACATATTTACAAAATCGATCTTTTTTAGACATAGCCTTGATTTAAGCGGAATTATGGTTAACTCGTTATAATTTCAAAATAAAATAGCTTTTAGTATTTTCAGGATTGTGGAAAACATAACCCCTCACCCCTCTCTCTAATGAAATCCAGAATACGTCCCAAGGAGTATGAAATAGAAGGGAGATACAACTGACGCGGCCCGCCCTACCATATGATTATACATGATTTGCGGACGGTACTTCATTTGTATAAGAAATATTTGTCTGATGTAACAATTACCGCGTATTCAATAACCTATTCTGAATATTTCTTATACAAATAGAGTACCGTCTGCAAAGCCTGTATATTTATAATCATATGGTAGGGCGGGTCGCGTTCCTTGTATCTCCTACTTACTCCTTTCTATTTCATACTCCTTGATACGTCCTCACAGTTGCAAGGTTGAAAGCCATTTTTTACAACTTATTCTAGCATTTTGGATCGTTGTGCCCTAGAACCCTGACCTTGAGATCGTCCTCCGGATCTACCGGAAGTGAGTCCGGAAGTGGAAGAAGTTGCTGAGGAGCATCTTCCTCTGATACTAGCCAGGGCAGCTGGTCAGCTGGAGGTAGGCGACCTGCACCTATCTGACCTACGATTGTTATTATTATCAAAATTATCATTATCATTATTATTGTTATCAAAATTATCACAATTATTATGAAAATTATCATTACTATTATAAATATTTTCAGAGTTATCATTAAATTTATAATTATATTATCAAAATGTCATTAAAATGTCATAATGTTAAAGGACAACCAAGCTTCAGTAATATAATGAATAAACAAATCTGACTTTTTACTTCCACACTCCGATCTCGAAGTGACCCTAATTGGGACTAAAAAATCAAGTAATTTCCTATTCAAAGAGAGACACCCTTTACATTCTTGGCTAAGTAACAATTAGATATTGTCGTTGAAAATCATTAATTTACAGGTATAAAATAGGATTATCTCATTCATTCTAGATCAGACAACAGATTTAAGGGATTCATTGTGAATCCAACTCTAGAAATTGAAAAGTCTTTTATTTGTGAATCCAACTCTAGAAATTGAAAAGTCTTTTATTTGTGAATCCAACTCTAGAAATTGAAGTCTTTTATTTGTGAATCCAACTCTAGAAATTGAAGTCTTTTTTTTTGTGAATCCAACTCTAGAAATTGAAGTCTTTTATTTGTGAATCCAACTCTAGAAATTGAAGTCTTTTTTTGTGAATCTAACTCTAGAAATTGAAAAGTCTTTTATTTGTGAATCCAACTCTAGAAATTGAAGTCTTTTATTTGTAAATCCAACTCAAGAAATTGAAGTCTTTTATTTGTGAATCCAACTCTAGAAATTGAAGTCTTTTATTTGTGAATCCAACTCTAGAAATTGAAGTCTTTTATTTGTGAATCCAACTCTAGAAATTGAAAAGTCTTTTATTTGTGAATCCAACTCTAGAAATTGAAAAAGTTTTTTATTTGTGAATCCAACTCTAGAAATTGAAAAGTCTCTTATTTGTGAATCCAACTCTAGAAATTGAAAAGTCTTTTATTTGTGAATCCAACTCTAGAAATTGAAAAAGTCTATTATTTGTGAATCCAACTCTAGAAATTGAAAAGTCTTTTATGTAAAGACAGAAGTAATACTTAATGGTTGGTACTTTGCAATTATTTGATTTAAAAGAGAGTTCGTGAAAAAGATGAAAAAATGGTGTTCAGGATGAATCGAAATCAAATTGTAAATTGAACCGCACAAAATTTATTTTCACCCAATGATTCTGGTGAGAGAATCAATATAAACTAAAATAATATCAATTATATTTATTTATTTTTAAAAGTTTAATAATTACCAAGCAATGAAAGTGCAATACTCTCAGCAGAGCCCTCTGGAATGTTACTGAGTGAACCAACAAAATCCTGTAATCAAAGTTGCAAATATTTGTTGCAATATTTTTGCAATGTTTTTGCATATCTTTTTGCCAAATCTGTTTGAAAATCTTTTTGCAACACTTCTATGCAAATATTTATAAAATCTTAAGGATTTTTACATTTTGATGTTTTACTTTTAAAAGGCTCAATCTACGAGATTTAAAAAACGATTAAATAAGTGGCTTTAATTATTTGTTTTTTCTTTTATCTTGCCAAGTTCTTCAGAAATCAACCTAAAGAGACTGTAAGAGTAATTGCAAGTTATCATCTATGCAAATAACGCTACCTTTAAAAACTTTTTCTGATCAAGCATGTATTAGACATTATTGTTTTAGCTGTTTATTTTCATTTGTGGGTTCTCGCAAGAATGACTTGAACATTTCTTGTTTATAAGAAGCAATGGAGAAATTGTAAAATTAAACGACGGTATTTTCCATATTTTTGATCATATGAAGGTTTCAAGGGTATCGTTATAAATTGGGCATTGGCATCTTTGCATAGAGATTAAGAGTCACAGGGAATCCCGCATATAGTCCCTTTCAGCAAACTTTTAGTGTTTACAGCTTTAACATGGGAAATTCATTTAATATTTTTATTATATTTCTTCTATCATAATATTTCTAAAACTTAAAACGATGTCCATACAATGTACATCTGTCGAAAGATCAAAATGGTTGAAAACACACTTTTACGGACAAGAAATATTTGTAAATAACAAGGTTTTTATAAAATTCAAATAGTTTTAAACATTTGCAACCATGAACCTTGGATCCTCGTTCAAACTTAGAATAATCTTCATCATTAGAATCCAACATCTTCTCAAACTCATAGCTGTCTTCACTAAAACAGTACCGTAATTGTTTATGTGATTGTTTTCTTTAATAAGTGTATTATTCTTTTATACAAATGTTAATTTGTACAAAAAAATAAAACCCCTTCTTTGTTCTGAGGATTTGTTTTAATATAAGTTTAAATATATAAAGTCGTTGGTAATATTTCACCAGTTGTTCCTGTCTTGAGAAATTGATAAAAAAACTGTGTCAAATTTGTATGAAAATTCATATATATAGTATGAACAACAAGAAAAATGTATACCTTAAAAATAACAAATTAGATGAAGTTGAAGTTGTAAATATTGCCTGTTATAATCTGTACTACCAGACTGATCTGTGGTACCAGGATCAGTTTTACCATCGCTTAAAATCATCCCTGAAATTCAGGAGTTATCAAATACTTAGTTAATAATTAGAATCTAACCTAACAAGTTTTGACTGGGAGCGTTCGCCACTTTTGAAAAGCGATTAATCATAACGTTTGAAAGGGACTAATACTGACTTTAATATCATCGTTGGAATATTATTAAACCCATCGTGGATGGTTTTTTATAAAAACGACTAAGCATTGGATAGAAAATATGAATAGTGCCGATAGTCTTGTACCCCCTTTTTCAGATTTCTTAACACTCCCTTTAGATATTTGATTTACCTGGCATTCTCCGGCTGATCTTCCTTCCAGGTTTCCTTGGTTTAGTTTTCCTTGATCTTGAACTGTAGATCTCCTCTCTCCTCATCCTTAGCTTCTCTTTCAGATCTCTTATCTCATCATCACTTTCCTCTTGTTCATCAATACGTTTCATACTATAACAATATTAGTGATTATATTCTCTTTCAGATCTCTTATCTCATCATCACTTTTCTCTTGTTTATCAATATGTTTCATACTATAACAATGTTAGTGATTATATTTTCTTTCAGATCTCTTATCTCATCATCACTTTCCTCTTGTTCATCAATACGTTTCATACTATAACAATATTAGTGATTATATTCTCTTTCAGATCTCTTAAATCATTCTCACTCTCTTTTTGTTTAGTAATAAGTTTCATACTATAAGAATATAAATTATTAACAATTGCGATTTGTGTCTTAAGACCAAAATTGTGGGGTTTGGTTGATATTTTGCACATTGTACCACATATTTTTCAGGATCCGGGTCCTGGAAGCCAAAGTGATGCATATCCAAAGGAACCAGATCCTAAGCACTAGTAAAAAAAGACCTATTAACATACCTAGCATCGAAGTGTAGCTGTTCCAGGGTACCAATCATGGCTTCTGATAGAATAAAATGAGCGTTCTCTCGATCAAGTTGTGCTCTTCGACCCTGGGCAGTAAAATATCATTATTTTTGATTTTGAAACAGATTTTCGATTTAACAATTATTTTCTTGAAAAACAGACTGTCTTTGTAATTTAAAGTGGTCTTTTATGTGAGGAAGGGCATTCCTGATTCACAACAGTGACATGTTCTTAATTTAGAAATAATTAATTTTTAAAGAAAAGATAATAGATGTCAAATGCATTCTTTATCAGACAAAGCTTTACAAGGTACTGTTGTGAATTGATCTTGCCACTTTAAGAATGGAAAGTCGCTTGAAATTACACTTTAAGAATGGAGAGTCGCTTGAAATTACACTTTAAGAATGGAGAGTCGCTTGAAATTACACTTTAAGAATGGAGAGTCGCTTGAAATTACACTTTAAGAATGGAGAGTCGCTTGAAATTACACATTAAGAATGGAGAGTCGCATGAAATTACACTTTAAGAATGGAGAGTCGCTTAAAATTACACTTTAAGAATGGAGAGTCGCTTGAAATTACACTTTAAGAATGGAGAGTCGCTTGAAATTACACTTGAAGACTGGAGAGTCGCTTGAAATTACGTCTACAGTCCATTTAAAATTGTGAGTAGAATCTTTTCCTAATGTAATTATGATAAATTAATTTAAATATATCTTACAAATTAATATTTTTAATAAATTTTTTTCCTTTAATTACCTTTCGCGCGTTTTCCCCTCCACTTTCAGATAAAAAGGATACAAGAGATTGGTTGGCTTTAGGTCTTTGATAGCAACCTTAAATTAGAATTTTTTAATAATTTAAAAATTATTTTTTTTAGCAAAATTTAAAAGTTTTCACCTGAAGTTGCTGGGACTACTTGAGACCATGATCCCTAAAAATATGAAAAATGTTATTTAACATTTATGTTTTAATTTCCTATATTTCCTTTTCACTTTACAATTACTTTACCTTTCTATATAAACTATAATATACTATATAATCCCTTCTTGAGTTATTTTTCTCCTATTTCCAATTTCTGTCTGATTTCTTTTAGTTTGAACAATTGAAAACTTTCCCATTCCCAAGTATTGCTGGTCTAGACTTGTTGGTAAACTTTATATTCATGATTTGTTTTGCATCAACAATAAAACGAAAACGTAAAAACAATGCAATTCTAATGTTTGTCATCTTCGTAAACATCTGATTTTAAACCTGTGTTGTTTGTTTGCAATGGTCTTTTTTAACTAATAATAACTTATTAAGTATTTTGTGTTATTCTGGTTTGCTTCAGTTTTTAAAGGTTTAAATCCCGAACCACATTTTTCCAAAGAAAATTTGAATGAAACAACGGCAAAACGGATATTGAAGCTAAATCCTTGATTCATCTTACTTTATTTATTCTAATTCAGCGTCATTTTTGAATAGAAGGTACATTTCTCAAAAGAACAAATTATTTTGTTGATGTTCCCTGTTCAGCAGTTTGGAAATATCATTATTAAAAAACGTCAATACCAAACCTTTAGGTATTAGATTGGTTTTTAAGCGACGATTGAAACATTCAACAAAGAAAATGAATTGGAAATTCGAGATCAATCCCATTTTAAAGCTGTACTTCTTCTTATCTCAAGAATAGCGAAAAACTTACTTTAATTTCTTGACTGGAGTCCAAATCATCGGAACCATTAAAAATCGGAGAGATAGGTCTACCCCATGCTATATCTAAAACGCAATTGTATAATTTTTTTATAACATTAAAAAAATGTTTAATTACCTGAATCAGAAGCTGCCCGATTGTGACCTTTCACAAATACACTTTTTGTTTCAACTTTATGTTCATAATTCAACACCGGACTACTCGTCTAAATAAAAGAAAGAAATGTTGTCACAATTTTATAAACACAAAATTAGTGCTTTGTAGGCTAGACAAACATGTATATTTTTTAAATTCCATGCTGGACTAAATGTCTGAAATCAAATGAAATCAGGATGTTCTAGACGTCATACTATCCACCAATCCACCCCNCGACTCGAACAAAAAAATGCAAACACATTTGTATAATGCTACACAGAATTTGTGGTAAATTAATTTTTAAAAAGAAGTTTTTTTTTAATTCTCCACTGGACTAATTGTCTAATAATATAGGACGTTTCAATCTATATATATACTTTGATATTAGCTGTCTGGACTCTGGGTGTCTGTTTGTTTGTATCCAATAAACGTTAGAACAGGTGAACCGTTCCAACTCAAAATTGTTGAGGCAACTCACGTGACCCCAGGGAACTTTTATTGATGCTCAGAATTACAAATATTTGTTTCAAATATTTGTTATATATATATATATATATATATATATATATATAAATATTTGTTATTATTTTATATTGAACAAAGATAGGATGAACACAGATAAAGACACAATTAAACGTTGAAATAGTAAATTAAAATTTTGTTTGAGTTTAGTATTGATAAAAAAATGGTACCTTCTGTGGAGAAATTGTAGATTCATCGGATTCCTTGTTTTCCAACAGATCTTTAATCATTGTCAGATATTCAGGACTATGCAGTTCCTCCACCACAGGCTCACACAAATCCTTCACGTTTACTGTTTATTTTAATTTTTAAAGGCAAAAAATGTATATACCCTTTTCTTAAATAAACTTATTGTTTCACTTTGTACTACTAGATCCCATATAGACCAGGGCAAGTGAAGGATTTCAACCCTATTTTCATTGAATTTCAACCTAAAGGTCGTTGTACTTTGTCTGTTGATTGTTAATAATCATAATAATACTAAGTTATGCGGAAGATAGAGGGAAGGATATTTACTAAATTAATCTCTTCTCAAGCTAGAAAAAAACAATATCTTCTTTATTGTTACTCAAATAAAGATTTAAAGTTTATCAATATAAATTGAGCATGAAACTATCAAATTAAAGCCACTAAAAAAATCTTACACAGCTTACCATCAAAAGTTTAAAAAAAATATACCTTTACTTCTGGACAGCTTACAGAGCGTCTATGCTGTTTCAATTTAGGAACAGAGTTCTTTTTGACAGGTTTACTAGGCTCAGGTTCAAGTTCATTAAACGTCAAGTCCAAAGTTGACAACCTGGAACAGGTTTACTAGGTTAAGGTTCAGGTTCATTAAACCTTAAAGTTGAAAACGTAAAACAGGTTAAGCTGGTTTGAGTTCCAATTTAATTGATGTCAAATTCTAAACTAGATTTAATTAGGTGATCTTGGACCAGATTCAATCAATAGTGAGAGGTAAATATGGGAAGAATGCTAGTATTACAGTGACAGTACGACAATATGGCGTTTTACTCTTCATCTTTACAACAAATTGCAAATACTTTATTTGTTAAAAAGTTTAAAAATAAAAATTCTTCTAACATCGGAAAATAATATTTCCCTAAAACTTCTCTTTTAGAAGATTTTCGTCAAAAGAATGAAGAATGCAAGATACAACAATATTTGCAAACTATTTATTTGTTTAGCTGAGTGAAAAAAGCTAGAATTAGGCAATCAGCATGAAAACTTCTAACATTTAAAAAGGTAGAAATACAAAGTAATTTTTATGTATCTGACCATGATTGCAAAATGCAAATGGGGTTAAGGAATGTTTTTCATAACAAGAGATTTAAGTAAAATTTACTTAAATTAAGAAACTTGTGTTTTCGAAATTCTCAGCAAAATATTTTGGAAATTTTAAATGATGAGTTTTAAAAGGATTCAAAAAAAGGACTCCATTACCTCGTTGATAAAGAACCTACCTCTCTAGATTTAAGTGTTTTAATTTAATATGATAAAGATAAAGGACCTACCTTTCTATATCTAAGTACTCTAATGCCTCTATGATGAAGATGAATGACCTACCTCTCTTGATCTAAGTTCTCTAATGCTTATTTAACGATATTGAAGGTCCTACCTCTCTAGATCTAAGTTCTCTAGTGCCTCTATGATGAAGATGAAGGTCTGCCTAAACACCGGGTTCATGGAGATCGATGTTTCGGTGTAGTGAAGAGCAACCCTCTCCCTGTCACTGTACAGATCTCGCAGTTTCATTGTCAGACACTAAACATAATCATCAAAGGGACTGGCCAAGTCATTGTTATTGAAGCTCAATCATAACAAAGTCATAAATAATTCCGGCGAATAAAATTGCCATGATTTGTTTCGAACGGGGTAGGAAATTCAAAAATTTAACATCATCGTTTATCCGATATCAGGGTATTGTTGTGAATTGCTTATCGATATTCTTTTATTGACTTTTTAAAATCTCTTAATAATCTTATTTTGAAGTTAGAATAATAAATTATAGTTATTTTGTTATTAGTTATCATTATTATTACTACGAATAGCGCTTCTTTCTTGAAAGTTCACATCATGCCTCATTTTTTGGGGTGGGGGGAAGGGGGGTGTAAATACAGAAAGTAAGGTTTTTCTTTAGTTTTATTTCAAACATTCAATAAACTAATATCTACCTGGTTTGAAAGTTGTAACTGAAGCCATCCCTCAATGGAAGAACTACCAAACATACCCATTTGACTTCCTTAAAAATTAGAATAACAACGCCAAAAATATCAACGACGACAAAAACAATTATAAAAACAGAAACATAAACATTAAACAGCAAAACAAAACAATAATAACAAAAACAATATATTTCCACATTCACAAAATTATTAGAATATCAACTTATGTAGCAGATTAAAAGTTATCTATGATTTGGTGTAAGCCAAATTGTAAAAAACGAAGCAGGAAAATAAGAAATATAATACAGTAGACCATAAATCATATCTTGAAACCTTTCTCCAATAGATGTCGTCTTGAAAGCAAAACCACCCTCCCAGAGCCGAAACTAAACCCAACCACCTCCGTCAAAAGACGCTAAATCTATGAAAAGTGAAAACACGTTTTAAATATAGAAATGCTTAAAATTATTGATTATATCGCTGTAAACAATAACGTTTGCAACCAACCGGGTATTTATTTTTTAGAAGTCACAAAACGTTTTATTCTCCTCATTCTATCGACCTCTCATTTTCCCTAACCTACCTAAAACTAGTAAGTTTTGTTCATTCAAATATTATAACGATTTATACCAATATTTGTTTACAAAAATATATTTATTCCTAAGTTTGAAATCAGATTTTTTTGTAGCACAGTGGAAAGAGGGGATATCAATCAGCTTTCGAGCACATATCGAGTCTTCACGGGAATTATCAACCTTAGATCAACCTGACCCTTTGTTCTTCTACAAATACACTTTGACATGCACAATGTACCTGAGTATCAAACTCAAGTTGACATCTCTTTAAAAAGTACACACCTGCTTGTTCCAGTACAAAGGATCTGCACTCAGTTTGACCTCTGTAATCTAAGTACATTGATCCATCCTTCAGTACTGTTTGTATTAGATCAAGGACCTTTGATAAACCACTCAACATATCTAAACAGTAATAGATCATTGTTAATAATAATTTTCTCATTCGAATCAGTGCTAAGAATTTATTTCGTTTTTTTGGATAGATTCTAAACACCAAAGAATGTATAGGCACAGAATTGCTTCTAGATGAATTTACGGCACCATTTTTCACATTTTTTTAAAAATAGCACTAATTTTAAGATAATTTTTGAAGTTATTCTTGTATTGATTTTGATTTTTCCTGTTCACACTTTGTTTTTAGCTGTTTCTTCTTTTTTTATTTGTTTAAATACATAATTTGAACTAATTTGAAATGAAATCTGAAAAAGAGGCCCCGTTATGAATGGCCATCCTCAAGTCAGATTATTTAGTAAATCACACGTTTAATCCGGATCCGGATCATCATTCTTACTTGATAAAGTTATGCTACTTTCTTTCACCAAATACTCCAAAAATTTCCAAAAAAATAAAAAGTTTTTTTGCTCAATGGTTAACATTATTATTATTATTATTAAAGGACAACCCATCATTCAATGAAATAAGGGTCGGCGCTCCTAGCCGCCGAAACGTATCCATGGGCTGACCGAACTGGTCACCCTAGGGAGAAGACTTATACTAGGCGGCCTGCCCAAGACAGCTCCAAATCAGGAGACTCTCTAAAAAACCAGGCGGTCTGCCCAAGACAGCTCCTTTTCAGGGGACTCTCTAAAACCAGGCGGTCTGCCCAAGACAGCTCCTTTTCAGGGGACTCTCTAAAAACCAGGCGGTCTGCCCAAGACAGTTCCATTTCTGGAGACTCTCTGAAAAATAGGCGGTCTGCCTAAGACAGTTCCATTTCTGGAGACTCTCTAAAAACCAGGCGGTCCGCCCAAGACAGCTCCATTTCTGGAGACTCTCTGAAAATTAGGCAGTCTGCTTAAGACAGTTCCATTTCTGGAGACTCTCTAAAATCCAGGCAATCTGCCCAAGAAAGTTTCTTTTTTGCTTTCACATAAACATATTACCTTACTCGTGGATCTTGACAAGCCATGCCTCTAGGATAATGGCCATCCGTTTTCCACGATCCAAGAGCTGCACTCCATCAGCTCCATCCCCACCGAGGTACAAACGGAGGACAGCCTGTGCAGTGCATGGCCCTCTCTTCAAAGCATTTAGCTTGTACTGGGTAAGCCCCAAGCTCCGTCTTTGTCTAGAGACACATGGGCAGTTAAAAATGACGTGGGATTCACGGAGTACGGAACGTGTGTGTAGTACTATCCTGCAGTGGGGACACATATCATATCTTCGACCATAACGGTTCTTGAAACGGTTCCCCAACAGGGTGTTTCCTGCCCTTACGCAACACAGTGTCCTGCTTGCAAAGGAATCCGTTACATGGCTCTGTAGCTTAAACCAGTTCTTGGGTTGAGGTACGACTGTCATTGTGGTGTGTTCTGCTTTTACAGCCATAACATGACTTATTGACCGATCGATGAGTGTCTTGTTCAGCTCCTTCCTTGTGTTGAAGTTCGTTAGGATTCCAACATCCCGTTGTATATTCATCCAGACCTTTACCCACGGATCCTCTGGCCGTGTAAGTAGAAATCTTAAAATCTGGTGGATAGTTGGGTTGGTTCTGTTTTTCACTGCGGTCCAGATATAGTTTGCCTGTTTGGTTTCTATTCTGTCTAGCATAGGGACCAGGCCTGCGTCCATCCATGCAAGGGTCCTGGAAGTAGAACTTGGGACCTGGAGAATAAATCGTCCAACCATGTTTTGAACACGGTCCAGCTCTTCAACTGTTTTCTTGGAGATGACCAGCACCTCAGCACAGTACAGGATCGATGGGATTGCACATGACTCCCATAGTCTCTTGGCTATCAGAGCCCGGTCCAGTCCAGCCCGTGTCAAGTTCATGATTGACATTGCGCATCCAACGGCCCGTCTTATCATGACGGCTTCATACTGGCCCACCATGTTCCTACCTCGGATCTGTAGGTTCACACCAAGGTACTTAGCTGCCAACACTTCCTCAATGGTCTCATCTTCAACTGACCAGTCAACAACGCTTGGGGAGTTAGTCAAGATGAAAGTCTTTGACACTGCCAACTTCATATGCATGTCCTTGCAGAACTGAGCTACAATCTCCAGTAGCCTATCCATGGCCCACTTGGGGGACCCGGCAATTAGTACTAAATCATCCGCAAAGAATAAGGCTGTTAGTACAACACCGCCAAGCTGGTATCCAAGCTTTGAGTTGTGTAGTGCATTTCCTAAACCTGCCACATAAAGAGCAAAAAGCATGGGGGATAACGAGCACCCCTGCTTCACCCCCTTTGTAAACCAAAGGGGCGCAGATAGTCGTGTTGTTAGTGTTAGTTGGACATTGTCATTGAAATACATTGAACGTATCAATGATAGGACCCGTCCTCCGAACCCTATTCGGCTCAGCTTGGTGTATAGGAGCTCCCTACATATCGAATCGTAGGCCTTTGCCAAGTCACAGAAAGCGATTGAGATTGAACAGTGATGCCGTCGTGCTTCTCGGATAACTGCTAGAATCGCAAACACACAGTCAGTAGTGCTCCGGCCTGACCGGAAGCCGTATTGGACGGACCCGTAGAATCCTTCCTCTTCACAGATAGGATCCATTCTCTTGTGCACAAGTTTTGTGAGTACACTCAGGAAAACGGTTGGGACCGTTTCTCACCTACCACCAACGAAGGCTTCTTTTTATCTATTAGTGTTAGTTTCCCTGTCAGGAGTGCAGGAGACACTTCACCAGATTCTAGTATTTCATTTAATACGCTCGTGAATTCCTGTAAAAATGCCGCACTGGCATGTTTCAGCATCTCAGAGTGCACCCCATCCACCCCTGGTGCACGATCTGACTTATGGGACTTAATGATCTCCTTTACTTCAGCCACCGTTGTCGGTTCACACACGACCGCTTCATACTCAGTTTCTTCACGTTCCTTCGGAATCCACTGTTGGTAGTTTGAGTTCTCGGATACAATTATTTGCTTCACCACCTGTTCGCCCCTAGATTCAAATATTGGGGACCGCATCCCGCAAAACTGCATTGCCAGGTGATTTAACGCATAATCTTCAATTTTTAGGATGTCTGTTAGGAGATTCCCGTCTGCGTCTTTGAGAGCGGATAGCTTTCCTTTTTTCTTTTGAGTCCTCTCGTATAGAGACCAAAACTGTCTATTGTGAATGTCCATTTGTGCTCGTTTCCATGCTCTTCTGTCCAGCTTGATAAGTCCTGACCTCTTCTTGATTTCTTCCACCATTTTCTGGTACCCTGTCATAGCATCATCCAGCTGTGCTTGTTCATTCTCGGACCAGGTTTCTTTGTCACGCAACTTACGTGACCGTTGTAATGCCAACCGGCGCATTTTACGGTCTGCCTCTTTCTTCCTGGCATTAAGCTTCTTGATGCTCCTTGGAACTCTCTTTACTTTACGTTGTCTACCAATAACTTGGGGGTACGCTTCCTGGTTAGCCCTTATCAATATGTCCTGAAGGTTTATCAACTTCTCCTGAGTAGTGCATTCCTCCCAGCGTACTTCTTCGAGCAAGCTATCCATCAGACTTACTGCTATAGATTTATCCCTGTCCTTGGGGAGGTGTATATGGTTATTTGTAAACACCTTAGGTACTGGCTCAACATCTAGCATGTTTATGTCTAGACGTAGTGCGACATGGTCACTTCCTGCTAGCAGCTCCACATCATCATCCACGCACATTCTCAACACCCCGGGCCGCACCGCCTCTGTTACTAGGACATAGTCCAGGATTGTGCTTGACACAGGCGTGATTCGAGAGAACAACCCTTCGCATAAGTCTCTGTCCTTATTCAACATTATTAGTCCATGCTCGTTGGCGAAATCTAACAGTAACCGACCATTGGTGTTTTCTCCCGGTCTATTCCCTGAGATACCTTCTGGCGCTCCCCCGACATGGGCGTTGAAGTCTCCTATCAAGATGCATCCATATCCATCTTGTTCCAAACTGTGGATTTCATTCCCTATGCAGCTATACAACTCTCTATTCCAGTCTTTATATGTCATGCCGCCTATCACTTCCGCAGCCATATACACTGAGCATATAGCCAGGCGAAAACTTTGGTTGTGGATTATTATCCACGTCCTTTCGTTCTCCACCCACGGCGCCGTATTCTCAGGAGACCATGTCGAGTGATTGATCCTGTCGGATACCAGAACCATTTTGCCTCCTCCATTTTTTTCTCCATAGTTTCGCTCTCTGTAATATTGAGTCCATGGACCAAAGACGCTTAGATCATTGTTTGATCCAAGCCAGAAGTGGGTCTCATCCACCATCATCACGTCTATTTGCTCCTCATCCATTACTTCTGCAATTTGCTGCTGTTTTAGCACACAACTCAACCCATTGCAGTTCCAGTAACATAATTTAAGGGGAGTTGACACTTCTTGTGTAATCTTGTTCTTTTTTACCCTCCACGCCTTCGCCCTGGCGGCGCTGCGGTGCTTCATTGTGTTTGATTCACTAAATGCCAGCACTTGTGTCCGGTTAACACATGTTCGTGTTAGATACCCATCAAAGAATATAAAGTCTCACTTATCACTATTCATTATTGTTAATATCAGAAACATTCATATTAGGTTTTCATTTTATTCATAATCTCAGCCTAAAAGGCGATCCAGTACTTTCATGATAAATGCTTATTAGAGAGTTTTAACGTCTCATTCTTCACTTTTCATTATTGTTTACCTCTGAAACATTCATAAAATTTTTATGTTATCCATAATTTTTGCCAAAAAGGTGATCCGGTCCTTCAAACCGATCCGTACACTAGTAACCCAGTGTTTAATGACGCAGCAAAAAGGGTTGTTGGTTGATTTAATCACATACCCCTTTACTTATAACCACTGCTAAAAAGGTGTTCCAGTACTTCAGTGTACTTAAGAACGGTTTCTTGGGTGATTTAATCACATACCCCTTTACTTATAACCACTGCTAAAAAGGTGTTCCAGTACTTCAGTGTACTTAAGAACGGTTTCTTGGGTGATTTAATCACATACATAACCATAGCTGAAGATGCTCAAGTACTTTAGTGTGCTTAAGATCAACCCCCTCACGTTAATACTCCCAATAAATCTGTGTACTTTTCAACCACACATTTAAATTATCATCACATTAATTAAATGTGTATTAACTATCACCACACTAACTTGTAACCCCCAGTACTCATAACCCCTGCTGAAAAGGTGCTCAATTATTTCAGTGTACTTTTAGGACATTTACATTCACTATCACCTCATTGATTAAAAGCCACAAGTACTTTAGAACATTTTCAACCACACATAAGACATAAGACATAAGACAAATTTAGAAAGTTGTGTTATAAAGGCAAAAGTTTTGGTTGAAATTTTGTCACTTGAATTAGTATTCGTGATTCAAGTAATTCAGGGCTTCTTTGCCACTCAGCTTTAACTGGCATTTAGAAATAGCATTTCAGAAACTAGGCATTCGCGATTCTAATCACTATGTTCTAGGAAAAAACTGGAAAACTTCAGTATATAGTTTTCTTAAAAGTGATATAACAAATGTACAGAGGATTGTATTAAAATAGTTTCAAAATGGGGGTGTTTTAACTAAACTAACTTACCCCAGGCCCGTATACCAGGTGGCTGACCGGCATAGCTGATCAGAAGATTTTCAACTGCACAGGCTGAACCAAAAGATTTGTAAAAATAACTTGAAAAACAATATAATTTGAATGAAAAGTAAATAGTTCCTAAGACTTAATTCTATAAGTTAGACAGGATTGGTTCGAATAATACATCACTTTCTACATCACAACCAGACAATCTGCGTTTTACCTAAATATTCAACCAAAAAGATCCAAATTAGAAATAAGAAACAAATTCTTCAGCAACCGTGTAGTTGAAACCTGGAACACGCTACCCAATAACATCAAAGATACTCCACACCTGAAGCTTTTCAAATCTCTTGTTGACAAGATGGAGATATAGAAAAATATAAACCAGAGAACTCCGCTAAACTTCTACTTGAAGTACCCTGCAGTCACAAAACACAAACAAACAAATACCAAGGGCGTATACAGAAATAAATCTAGGGGGGCGAAAATTGCACGAAGCACCATACATTTTGTTTGCCCCCCCCCCAGGACACCCTAGGGGGGGGGGGAACATTTGAACTTTAAATTCAAAACATTTGGCTTCTTGGGTATCAGGCATATGTATGATACGTATAAAGGTACAAACAGTCCAATTACCTTGCAAGTACTACTTGATATCTTCTTCGAACAAAACTAGCAAAAAAAAACAATTTTTCTTAAAAATCGACATTTTATTTTTCTGAGAAATAATTAGTATTTAAACTAAAATAGTAAAAGACATTATTGTAAATGAAAAACTCAACTTTATGAGATGAAAAAAGGACAAAGGTCCAGAAATTAATTATGACTTGTAAGAGTTTCTGTTGTGAAAAAAAGTAGGAGTACAATTGTAAAATATAAAATAAAGCTCTTCGTTCATTTATATGTTCACTATGGCTGGCCAAACGACTGAATCAAATGGGCTGAATTTTAGGGAGGAAACTCACGGGTACATTCGGAATAACATAAGCTTGATAAATTATAATTTTTTGTTTCAATTCGATTTTTAAAATTCCACCAGGAACGCCGGGCACTTCAGCTAGTATGTAATAAAATGAAAGATTACAAAGCGGCGGTGCAATGAATGAAATACATTAAATCCAAATAAAAAAGGTCTTTTACTACCACCAATTCCAAACTCAAGCCTTCGTGGCTTGGCATTTAAAAAAAAAGTATTTTACTTCTTTATAGCGCCCATCCGATTAGGATGAATGTGAAATCTAAATAGATTATTCATTCGGACTTCTGTCATGGTGGCTCTGGTCCACGTATACAATCTTCTTAATGCACTGAATGAACAGCAAACTAATTTTTTATGTTCTTCACTCTTCAGTTTAAGATTTGAAAAGTGTGACAGCTCTGAGTTCTAGGGGGGGGGGGGGCACTACCCCTCTTTCCCCCCCCCCACTGCTTTGATCGGCAGCTCCCGGCTTATTATAAAATAATATAGACGATTGAAAAATTCTGAAAACACGATTCTTAAAATCAGGAAATTATGGCATGGCGTGAATTTAAGAGAAAAAAAAATGAAAAAAAGTGGAAAACAATACTTTTCGTTAGAAGTTTATTTAGCATAGACTGTATAGTAAAAAATACACATTAATATCTTTCAACAATAAACAATTGCAATAAACAAAGCACAGTAATATTTCGATAAAAAAAGTTCTGGCCTGAAGAGTTCATATTTGAGACCATAAATATCAAAGTAAAAAAATAAAAAGATTAAAGAGGAAAACGTAGAATGTGACTCAACTATATAACACAGTATAAAATATTTTCTCTTTATTCCCTAATGTTTTCAGCAACCTCTCTTGTTTTTCCACATCAGTTAAAGGGGCATCTTCAGAAAAGGATTTTCTAAACAACACCAATCCATTTAAAGGGAGTGTTCGCGAAAAATGAAAGGGGGTATAGGCTAACGGCGATAAATAAGCGCATACTATTTTTTTATTTTTTATGGTTTGATTGTTACTTTTAAAAACATTTATTCCTGTTTAGAAGATTTTTGATAATGAAGACGAACTTTTCATATTTCCCAGAAATGTTCGAAAATCCAGCGCAAGCGAAATATTAATCAAAAAACAAAATAGAAAATATTATGAAATATAATCGATAACTATTGTTTGTAATATCTGAATGATTTGTTTGGAATTAAGTTGATTATTTTACGATCCGAGTTGAATGTTGCAACTTTCTGAATTTGTATGGACGCTACGTTCTTCAATATAAGTCGTTTTTAACCATTTTCTCCTTAAAGACACAAAAGATAGAAAGATTAGTAGAGATCAAAAGCGCTTATTTTTCGCGGTAAGCCTATGCCCCCTTCATTCTTCGCGAACACTTCCTTTAACTCAATTAAAAATAGTAAAGGGACTGCAGACAAAACTTAAAGTGGAATGTCCGATTCACGACCATAATTGAAAATAACCAATGTTTAACCTATAAAATAAGATAAGGATCTGAAAACACCCTATCTTGGAGAGCCCAGACCGCCATCACCACGACTGAGCTTCGGCATCCTATAGAGCCTAGAAATCAAGGATATCTCATGATCAGGCACCGTTGTGAAATCGGACATAACCCTCTTAAATTTGAAATTACTTCTACAGTCTCAGTTTACTAAACAATATTAATCTCAACTCTAAGTAAAGGATTGTTAATGTTCGTTTATGAGAGAAATATTCCGAAATATTGTGCTATGAAGTTTATTTTTAAAAAGTTAATTAATCACTTAAAAAATATGATACTATGGATTATGTTCCTAAGAGCCATGATGTTTTAGAGATCTTCTTTTCTTAGTTTTCTCATTCTTTCGCTAAACCGGCATTTTCTCTATAAAAAGTGTGAAGCAGACTTATTACATAATATGAAAACAGAACTTGATAAAAAACATCGAACAAGAATTAACAAGATTTAAAGGTTCTTAAAGGGAGTGACCGGCTACGTGAGGTAGTTGAACTGAGTATGCACTGTTGTGGAAAACTTCTTTCGGATTCATTTGAGACATATTAACTATTTAAAGATCTGTAAATCCTGAGTTTGAGCGCAAATTTGACGTTCAAAACTCGTACTTTGGGGGTGGATACGTTTTCAGAATTAGTTTTTTTAAATTATTAAATATCGACAAAGAAAAATAAAGTAAAAATTATACAGTAATCTTATTGGATGGTTAGGAACATATTTCTCAAAAGAAATTTGTCGATAATCAATGCTAAAATCGATTATTTCGTTTTAATTATTATTATATTGAATTTCTAATTTTCTTTGAAGTTATTCCCAGATTTCTTCAAATTCTTCAAATGTCGTCTTTTCAATAATAATTCTAGAAAATCTGCGAAAATCTTTTTGAATAATAAGAAACCAGAATAATGAGATAATAGAAACTAATAATTGAACAAAATTACTTATTTTCGATGTTAAGATTAATTTTTATTTTCTCAACATGTTCCTACACAGACGTCTGTAGTTTATTGTAGAACTTTTTTACATTTTATGTCGTCGTTATTTAATAATTTAAAAAAGACTAATTCTGAAAACGTATCCATCCCCAAAGTAGGAGTTTTGAACATCAAATTTGCGCTCAAACTCGGGATTTACAGATCTTTAAAAAGTTTAATATGCCTCAAATGAATCCGAAAGAAGCTTTCCACAACACTGTATACTCAGTTCATCTACCTTACATAGCCGGTCACTCCCTTTAAGTTGATAACTCTAGCCCTCTCTCCAATTCTCCTTTTTTCTGTGAAAAAAAATTAGTAATTATTATTATTTAAATACTTTTATTCTTAGTTTATCAATAACTAACATTATAACATTGAAGTGAAAAAGTTGAGATATTTTAATGAGTTATAATAAACCAACAAGATGTATAAAGACTTGGAGACTGGAGAGGGGACAGAGTTTAAACATTTTCGATTATGCTACATTGTTATACATTGCATCCCAATTTATGCTAAATATTATACATTTTACAAAATATTATGCTACAAATACAAACTATTACAGCAAAAGTTAGGCGTCTTAAAGGGAGTGTTTGCGAAAAATAAAAGTGGATATAGGTTTACGGCGAAAAATAAGCGCTTTTAATTTCAACAAATCTTACTTCTATATGTTACAATCAAAAGCGCTTACTTTTAACCGTGAGTCTATACCCCCTTTAATTTTTCGCGAACATTCCCTTTAATGGACTGTGGTCGTAGGTTTTAGCAACTACAACTATAAGTGACATGTTTAAATCAGCGAACGGTACCTTTAAAAACTTTAACTAACCAAGAATTAATAAGATCTTCATGTTTATCTTTGTAATAATTTATTATTTCCAATTATGATTTCTCTACATAAGTGACTCAAACATTTCTGCTGCAAAGACGCTGTAGGAAATCGTCAGAATTTAACACTTTTCAAACTAGAAAAATAATGATATCTTCCACATCATTGATCTGATAAAGATTTTAAGGGTTCCATTGAGAATCGAGAAAATGAAAAATCACTTAAAAGTACAACAACAGTTCCTTTATTATGTATGAACATTATACTGTACAGAATAATGTACATTGTTCGTGGCAAATTGTACAAGGATTATGTATGTACATTATACTGTACAGAACAATGTATATTGTTCATGGTAAATTGTACAAGGATTAGGCCGATCACTAAAGACTAGACTGTAGAGACTACAATATGTTCTAATTAAAGTATATATACAAATGTATAAGATAGAAAACGTGTAAAAATTGACACAAGTATTTGAAAAAGCTGCCTTTGGTTAATTTGGCGTGGTTAATGATGATTAAAACAACGATATAATATGGACATATCCGTCTAATAGAAATTCAAAGTTCTAATTTGTGAGACTCAAGTGCTAAATGTTTACCGAGAGAAAAATTATTTCAGTCTGTATATTTTCTAAGTTTTGTCACAACACGAAGCATAGTTACTAGGGTGCATAACCAATCAACATGGTTACAAAGGGATAAAGCCAATGGATTGGGTTTTTAAGTTAATTGGTACCAAAGGAGATTTTAAAACCAATGAAGGGCGTATTTAGCCCATGATTACAATGGGGAGTATAAAGCCAATAAAAGGGCGTTTTAAACCTATGGTTACAAGGGGAAGTATAAAACCAATATAGAGCGTTTGCCCTTTGGTTACAATAGGGAGTATGACGCCTATGGAAGAGCGATTTCAGCCAAAGATTAGTGGTTACAAAGGGGCGTTTAAAGCCCAATAAAGCCTACAGTTTAAAGCCCAATAAAGCCTACAGTTTAAAGCCCAATAAAGCCTACAGTTTAAAGGATGTATTACACCTAAAAAATGGCAAGACTACAGTTAGAGAAACAACCATATTATTATTAATATCATCTAAATATCGTTACAGTTCACGTGAACAGCAAAATTAGACCGTTAAAAGTCGTTTTTGTTCTGTGATGTTAAGTTATACAAATATGTGATTATTAAAAAAATTTTCTAGCACACAAAAAAGTTCAAAGCAATGCCCTAAATTAAGTATAAGAGAAGCAGTCGAAGCAGTAGACGGCTTTGAAACACTTGAAGCTTATAAAAAATTCCGTTTGGTGGCGCTGAATCCATTTCTTGCTTTCTCTTTGATATTCTCAAACAACCCTAGTACAGAAGAATATATTGATGCTTATTCAGATCACAAAATGCTTTCTTTAAATGCATGTATTTAGATCAAATAGTCAATTACCATAAGATTTAGAAATTAATCAATCAGCCAATCAATTATTTAATTAATTCACCAATTAAACAATTATTTGATCAATTAACCAATCAACCATAGATTAGCCTACAAACCAATCAATTAATCCATCAACCAATCAATCAAATAATCAACCAATTTATCCAACATATCGAGCGACTTACCAATCATGCAATTAAACGACAAATTTTTTTTTAATCATTAAAAAAATCAACCAACCAACCAATCACCCTTTCAACCAACATTTCAACCAACCAACCTACAAGCCAACCAACCAACAACAATCACCCAATTAACAATCATTCAACTAATCAATTATCGAACCAAACATTTAACAATCCCCCAACCAACCAATCAACTAATCAACCAATCAACCAACCATTTAATCAACCAACCAACCAACCAACCAACCAACCAACCAACCAACCAACCAACCAACCAACCAACCAACCAACCAACCAACCAACCAACCAACCAATTATTCTACCTGAAGGCTTATTATTATCTGGGTTTGCTCTGCCAAGGATAATGGCCATATGTCCTGTTTGGTTAAAGGTAAACTCAGAATCCTAAAAATCGATCAATTGATCAAACGAAAAAGAAATCAATTATCAAACCTCTTTAAATTTTCAAGCACAATTTCCAGTTAAAAATCAACAAATCATTTCATGAAAAGTACATATATTTTAGGCAAAGTAAAGTTAAATAATAAAATTATCTGAAAAAAAAGATAAGAACTTTTTAAATAACCTTTGAATCCAAAATAGTCACATAATGCTACAAGAGCGGTGTCTGATCTGGGGAAAAAATGGAGAGATACGACGGAAAATTCGACTTAAAAAAGACCTGACAGAAAGGTAGATACATAGACAAGTTAGACAAATATTCTCATTAGATCAAAATATTGACTTTTTTTTACATATTTTAAAAAGTCACCTGAAGGATTGATGCAGGTTCTGGAGAACAACTTCTAGCCGGAGTACTTCTTCTACTGTAAGCACCAATCTTACCGTACCCGTACGCGGTTGGTGACGCATAAAGAGGACTGCCGGGATCATCCTCGAGGCTGAGTCGATGAAGGTTCTCCGGGGCCCTGGAGTCCGACATCCTTTTTATATACTTTTCCAACAGCTCAGCTGCTATTGCATTGTTATTCCTAAATGGAACATAAAAATATATTTAATTTTCAAGTTTTTTTAAGAGTATTAAGAGTATTACTTCACTTATTTTAATTTTTTTAAAATCACATTGGCAAATCTTTCAAAAAATTTAAGATTTTGCAAAAGTTTTTTTGGGATATTGTTTCTGATTTTTTTTTTTTTTTTTTTAAATATCTTATACGGTCTTAAGAATCTTGAAATCTGAGTATTAACAATTTTAAATAATCATGAAAAAGTAAAATATCTTACCTGAGAGCTACACGAAGAGCATCTCTACCATGATGATCCTGAGAGAGAGGATCAGCTCCATGCTGTAGCATTAGCTGGAGAACTGCAATATGGCCTTCCTGCGCTGATACAGCCAACGGACTAGCTCCCTAGATAAATGAAACAATAAAATATTTAAATTTTGTGACTTAGCTGAGAACAACCGAGTAAATTGTTTGGCATCATTGGACCAGTAGCTGACATGCCCCGGAATTTAAAAATGTCCATTGTCCAACACTCAGCAGAAACAGACATTCTGCCTTACGTATGCCATTAAATTCATTCACATATACATGCATACATTCAGCAAATTTTTTAGAGTTTCTGTATAGCGTGCATATGCGTACATGCTTAACTTTTAATAACAGGCAAAAAATGTTGTTAAATTGCAGATTTTCTTTTATTGGACATTGGTCCTCTCCACCATGGGCATTCCATATCGTGAATTTCAGATCAAAAGAAAAAATAAAGAAAAAACAAAGTTAAAAAAGTTGAACCTGATCGCACTGTTGATTAACGTCAGCTCCAGCTGTTAAAAGAATATCAACAATATGAAGATGACCCTGCCAGCAGGCGGATAACAGAGCACTCCGCCTTCCTCCATCCAGGCAGTTAACATCCGCCCCGTTCAACAACAATACCTACATCGAATAAATTCATAAAAGAGTATTCAATTATTAAAAATTGAATTTGTAGTTCGCAGGGTAATATATTTTCAAGAATTAACCAGACCCCTTCCCACCCTAAACCTTAAAACACAACTTACATCTAGGAAAAAAATCAAAAGGGGAGGGGGGGGATTTTTAAGTAAAGTATAAACCCCTGAATGGTCAACTAATCAATGTTAAGTAATTAACAAATCAAGTAATTAATAAATAAACAAATTTCTCAGCCACATTATCAATTAAATAATGAAAAACGACTAAAAATTATTAAAGGGAGTGTTCACGAAAAATTAAAGGGGGTATAAGCTTCCAGCGAAAAATTATCGATGGTGATCGCTACTAATCTAACTTCTATCTGATGCATCTATGAGGAGAAATATGTTAAAAATGACTCATACCGAAGAACGTAGCGTCCATACAAATTCAAAAAGTTGCATCATAAAACTCGAATCGACGCATTCGTATAAAGTTGATATTTCATAATGTTTTTTTCAAATAATTTTTGGCTTACAATTTGTTTTCACGGCTGGCGCTGGATTTTCGAACATTCTTGGAAAATATGAAAATGTCGTCTTCATTATCAAAAATCATCAAACAGGAAAAAAAAATTCAAAAGAAACTCTCAAATCATAAAAAAAAAATAAAAAAATATCAACTACATACGAATGCGTCGAAAAATGATCGATGATTATAGGTTGTAATATCTAATTGATTTATTTGGAATTATTTTTATTTGTTTACGATCCGAGTCGAATGTTACAACTTTCTGAATTTGTATGGACGTAGGTTCTTCGGTATGAGTTGTTTTTAACAAATTTCTCCTTATAAACGCAACAAATAGAAATTTAGATTAGTAACGATCACCATCGATAATTTTTCGCCGTAAGCCTTATACCCCCTTTCATTTTCGCGAACACTTCCTTTATATAATGTATATGTCAACTTAATTATTCGTCAAATGTATATTCATTCAGTCAACAATTTTATCAGTCACTAATCAATCTATTTACAAAATAAACAATAAACATTGAACTTATCAACTAATCAACAGGTCAAGTAATAAATAATTCAACTAGTTAAAAGGTCAAGTATTTGATAAGCCAACAAATCAATACTTAAAGTGCTTAAAAATTTAACTATTCAATAGATCAAGTAATTCAATTTTGTAAAATAATCATTAGCTAAATGGCACTGCAACTTTTGACCAAAATCTTCTCTTTATCTGAGTGATGTTTACCCATTAAGTCGACCTTCAATAGAAAAGGGCCAAACAAATTAAGCTTAAAGTTGTTTTTTTTTAATCAAGAATAGAAAATTGCCGCAATGATTGGAAGCACTTGCCGGTATATTACGAAATAGCAGATTTCAGAAAAAGAGCCATCTAAGTCAAAAGTTGCAGTGCCAGTAAGCTAACGAAGAAAATAAATTGTTCTTTAAATTTATCTTTTTACATTAGAATTGACAATGGCCTTGACGATCTGAAGCATTTTGTTACTCTATTGCGAATGTTACTAATCACCTGAACTATATCTGTATACCCCTGCCACGCTGCAACATGAAGAGCAGTTCGTCCATCAGAATCCCGCAGCTCCGTGTTAGCTCCATGGTTCAAGAGGAATTCAACAGACTTGGCATCATTCTCAAGCGCCATGATGTACAAAGTAGATCTAAATTTTATATCAGTAAGTTTTATGATTTCAAAACCGAATTTATTTATTTATTTATTATTTAACCCTAAAACCAGGAATGGAGTTAGACATCACAACTGAATTATTGTATAATAATGACGCAAAAACAGGTTTAACAGATTATAATTTTTTAGTCTCTGTATCAATGTTATCCAAAAGTATCCCAATGATATGACTGCCCTCTAACAAGTAATCAGCCTTGAATCTGTATCCATATTATCTATATCGGCCCAACATTATGCAGTAGTATCCCAGTTATATCCAGACTACCCTCTAATAATTATATTAACCAACCTTGAATATGTATCCATATAATCTATATCCGCTCCGTTATCCAGTAGTATCCCAGCAATATCCAAGACTACCCTCTAATAATTATATTAACCAACCTTGAATCTGTATCCATATAATCTATATCCGCTCCGTTATCCAGTAGTATTCCAGCTATATCCAGACTACCCTCTAACAAGGATATTCTCAATGGTGTTCGTCCCTGCAGGTTTACTATGTTTACATCAGCACGTGCTCTAAACAAATCGGTTTCAGCTTATTTAATTATTTACCAAACTATGGAATACAAAGATCAATCAATCAGATAAAGCAATCATTAAATTAATTTCCCAGTCAATCAATAATGCATGAATCAATCAATCAAATGATTAAGTTTAATGAATAATGCCGATCAATCAATCAATCAAATCAAACTAAAAAGATACATCAAGAACTCCCATATCTTTGTTTATAAAAATGTTTGTCTGTTTGTTAGTGATAAATAAACGTTAAAACGGCTGAACCGGTCAGTCCAGAGAATCCGTAATGCCGGTCAAAATTTAAATCCGCCATTAAAATCAGAAAAATCCGCGACCAGTATACCTAAGTAGCTGAACTACAACTTCGTAATGATTCTCTGAACAGGCGAGATGCAGAGCTGTTTTCCCATCACAATCAACCATATCCAACTCCGCTCCAGCGTTTATTAATAGATCAACTATCAGAGAATGTCCTGAATTATTTATATTTAAATCACTAAGTAAATAATCTTTTAATATTTCACGAAAATTTAACACCAAAAAATCTATCAACTTCTGTACAGTGTACAGTGTACACTGTACAGTGCTCATCAAGGTCTGTTAAATAAACTAACTAGGCAAAACACAGAAATTGACATTTTTTAAAAGAAGTAGTATTGTTTGACTTTTAATAGCTTCGTTACCAGTAAAATGATGATACATTAAAATCTTTCTTAATCTTAGTGAGCTATAACTTCTAAATTTTTAAGTTTTAATCAGGTGAAAAATTAAAGTTAAACTTAATCTCATTCAAAAGTTCCAGACTCAGACTAACCTTCAAAAGCAGCATAGTGTAGAGGACCCCAGCCAGCATTATCTCGATGCTGTTCATCCAGACCCCGGTCCAACAAAACCTAAGCATAAGGGAATATGATCTTTTTTTAAAATATCCCCTCTCAATCCGGGGCGTGGGGGGGGGGGTGGTTTTCGAAGATTTGGGGAAGAAAATAAAAAAAGTCCCTCCCCCCTTACACAAAAAGTTTCAATCTTAAAATTTTAAGTTTTGAAGGTAAAGCATAAACATTATTATTTGAATAAGCCACCATGTTTCTTCAACAAACAAATTTTAAAAAAGGATCTAATGAAGTAATTAAAAACAAAGAAAAAAATTAAGAATATTTTTATGTTTTAAAAACAGAAAAAGACAACATGGTTTATCCGATAAACAATCCTTTTAATATGTTTCTAAATACTAATTTGTATTAAATTTTACCTTAACGATGGCAGTTGAGCCTTCTGCTGCCGCTACACTAAGCACAGTCCTACCCTCACAATCTATCCCATCCACGTAGCAGCCCCAGAACAGTAGGATATTCAAGATATTCAGGTGTCCCATGCTAGCAGCAGCAAACAGAGCAGTTTTACCCTCCTTATCCGCATGATCCATATCCGCGTTATTTTCAAGCAAAATCTCGCAAACCTAGAATAAGAATTAAAGGGATTGTTCAAATATTTTAGATAAGTGTGAGGTACCAGCTGCGTATCAAAGTTCTCAAATATGCCTTTAAAACATAAACATTACAATTTACAAAGCAATACTAATTTAACCTATATTAATTGTTTTCTAAAGAGGCCTTACGAATTTCGCCCTCTGTCCTCTTCCCGTTGAGACGAAGATGTAAATCTGGAAATGTTAAAATCTAAACTCAACTGAAAACGAAAACCTCCCAATGCTGCAATAAATTGTTTAACATCTGATAAAGGTAAAGTCAGAACTCTTTTAGCAAAGATTTATCTCTCCCCAATGCTCAAATTTATAAATAATTGAAAATACTGTCGATGTAATTTCAAATGGTCCTTTAATAAAAGAATATGAGCATGTCAGATTCACAACGGTATCTTCTAAACCTTTATTTGACCATTATTGTTGAAGATATCGGCGCCTTTT